CATTGTGATAAAAATACCATCTGTCGTTTTGCAAAGTCAGACGCGTGTCAATTCGCGGATAAACGGATTAATTGGCCTTCTACAATAAGTCATAAGTCATAAATCGGAAGTAAGAAACTAAAAATTGACGACTGTGATTGGCCCATTTCTAGCTTATGACTTATGATTTGTGACTTACGGCTTATTGTAGAAGGGCCCATAAAACTTTAGCTTGTAAATAAGGAGGAAGTAATCGCTGATAGTGATAGACCCGGAAACATTAACACCTCGGTACGTAAACCGATTTGTTAAATGCATGCACAGGCCCCGATTCCGACGAATATGCAAATTCCGCCGGTATTCCAATCACCGAATTCAGTGGCATGGAGGAGGCGTCAAATGGTCCCTTGACGCGATTGATTCGCAAATGTTTACACTATCAGCTGCGACGCAAACATACCATAACGAGGTCCGGTTAAGATCGAAAGCTACATCGTGGGCCACGTGAAACCTTTGGTATAAACTTTCTACGTATTATCCGTTCCCAACAATTGAACCCATTTATTGAGCCAAATTTCGCGCATTATGAAATGTATTAGATTAAGTCATAAATGTTATTTATTATAAGTTAGATTAAATTACAAATTCGAATATTACATGATTAGTTTAATTCGAAATAAAAAGATAATTTTTCAAATAATTTTTAAAGTATGAAAGCAATAAATTAGAAGGAAATTAAAATGAAAAGCGATTCAAGTTTAAGAATGACAACGACACCGTGTCGCGTTCGTGATATCTCGATATAACTTTGCAAGTGAAACAATAAGTCACGATAACGTCAAATGACGTTAAAATGAAAATCGTAACTCATCGAAAAGTGACTTTTAATAATTATTTTAGAATCATATTGACGTTATTTTGATATTATTGTGATGATTTGTGCTGTCTGGGTGTGTGTGTGTGTGTGTGCTTGATTTCTTGAAACTGAAGGAACACACCAAGTCAAGAAAAAGTCAAAATTTTGGCATCATGAAAATAGAAATGATCTCTAATCATAAAATTTGACTACTTATTAACATTAATCATATAAAAACAAAGTCATTTTGATTTGTTGTTAATTTTTGCGTGTTTCTTGGGAGAACAAGGAAGTCAAAATAATGTTAACTTGATCATATTGATCGATTATTGAATTTATACGTCATTTTTTTATCATGATTCAGTCAATATTATTTTAACCTTTTTGGTCTCCTTAGATTTAATCGGAAAGCAATATTATTGTATCGCTAGAAGCTGAACACTCAGCGTTAAAAGTTCCATGAGCCTTTCTCTTATATATATTCGAGGTAAATTATACCGATAAAAGTAAACTCACAGGATTCTGTTTGAACACGTTCGTATTCAACTGTACTCTCGTAACTGACCTTTACGAATAGAATTTTCTACCGAGTCACGATAAAATTAGAATTTTAGAATTTGTGTAATTAAAAATTCATGATAAAAATATTTCATATCTATTAAATTAATTCGGCTAATTAAAATCTGTTGAAAATATATGTTTAAAGGAAATCCAGCGACAATTTAATACGGGCATGAAAACGTAAATCATCGAATTGTCAAGTCCTTGAAAATATCACGGTCGAGAGATGTAATAAAAATCGCGAACTGTTCGCGTTGTCTCTCGTGTCGAGGACGCCCTTCCTAAAAATGGCTCACAATCTGTTGACGTTTCAGCCTTGGGAATTTGATCGCGTCGCGTAATTTACATCTCAGACGTCTTTGATATCAGCGGTTGTGTAGCCCTGCTGGGTAAAAGCTATGACGAGCTTTGTGACGTCTACAGACAATATCTAAACAATTCCTAAACGCGCTGTACCTTGGTACCAAGACGTAAACCTTCAAGCTTCGTTGATGACAGTCTACATTTTTTTTCTTAGCTTCCGAAATTATTAAGCATTATAGGAAAAAGGTAAATAACCGAATTTTAGAGGATATCTAAAAAAGTGATAAGTATCAATATATATGGTATATCCGATCGATTCTTGAAACAAGATTATTCTTCCTTGTACAATATAGATGTCGTGTGTAATAAAATTTTCTAATTTGAGTTCACAAATAAAAAATGTTTTTACTGCGTCAAGATTTTATAAATTTTATTAAAAAATTAATTTTTTACGAAATAATAATTTTTTAAATTTGCTTTGCAAAAATATTTCAATTTTCAATTTTGTAGAAAATATAAAATATAAAAAGAAAACATTATATATCGTATATTTATCTTAATCTCAAGTTTACCTTAAACAAGATGTTTAGTGGTAACAATTGAAAAAAATAAAATTATTAATTAATAAAATTATTAGTATAATTACTTATATATAGAATAAATTTGCCACAATTTCACCGTTTAAAAAAAATTCTATTTCATTTTAATATTCAATGATTAAATGTTAAACTTAGTTATGAGAAAATTAAACTTATAATATATATTAAGTAATTACCAAAGAGACAACAGGAAATTCAATAGAGAATAAAACTCTTATCAATCTTAAATCCACAAAACAAAAAATGTTCAACCTCCAATCACGATGATAATGCCATAATGTTGAAATAAAGATAAGAACTGAAATGTTTCCGTCAGGAATTCGCGGTTACTTTGCGAATTATCGGCAGCGTTCGGTTTGGACAATTACGCGCTTTAAGTCTATATAATCATTTTGTCTTCATCATCCATTAAATGTAAAACAAGGATCGAAGCGCTGGAAACACTGAAAACGTCCAAATTAATTGTTAAATGAAAATCGTACGATTCTGCGAGCACTCACCATTCCCGAAGGCGATGATCAGAAGAAGCCCGTATCGAAGGAACGGGACGGGAGAGGACGACATGGAATTGAGGGCCTGTTCGTGACCGCGTGACCGCCTACGTTCGACTGATACACGACGGCGGCTTTCAACCACCGTGCAATTTCACCCCTGAATCCCGCGCTATCCCTACCAGAGAACCGCGGATTCCCGAAGGAAATTCGCGCAGGCGTTTATCGAAACAGCCGCGGCGCGAGCACGAATTTATACCGAATGCGAAGTCCAAATGATTGCATAAAGATGCACGGAAACGCGTTTGAACTATATAGATTGACGTTAAAGGATGACATATCCGAAGAACACCGAGAAAAAGTCAGAATGGCTTTATTTTGACGTCATGAAAGTTAAAATATTGATTTTTTATTACAAAATTTAACTGTTTTTTAACAGTAAGAATTAAAATAAAGTTATTTTGATTTTTATATTGACTTTTCTGCGCTTTTTGAATAACAATTGCTTTTCATTTTCATACAAGTGATACTGAATTTAAAGCTACGAGTATTTTATACACAGATAATAACATCACTACTTATTGCTTTGATAATAAAGTTATCTTGCGACAACATAGATTTATAATCTTATTTTTAATGTGAAGCAACAAGATTTACAATCAGTAAAGCACATAATCGCGAACTTGTGCAGGTTGTAAATAAAAATTCAATCGAATCTCATTCATCAGAATGAAAAGGAACGTGCAGCATTCGACTGAGTAATGACATCACATGAGAATTATCTGAGTTTGATACAAATAGAAAGCAACTACATATATATAGACTTATATTTTAGTCTATAAGACGTTACGTCATTTTTATTAACGTCGTTCTGCTAGTTGAGGCAATTTTTTGTTTGTAATCTTTAGCTTCCAAATAACAGAAAGCGCCGATTCCGAAATAATATAGCATCGATACATTTTCTCTCTGAAAGATTATTATGGATTACATATTTTATTTTTAAACCGACAAAAAGAGCTAAATCGTAAAATGAACGTCATCTCGCTTTTAATAATTATTTAGATATTAACATTTGTTTATCGATCACGAACGAAACCAAGTTTGAATTATTTTACACTTTCGTATAATAAACACGCGTCACTCATATTCGCCATTCAAAATTTTTAAAAAGCAGATACGTATTTTATGATATACAAAAATGATTATCAGAATCGTGATTTAAATGAGAAAGAGAGTGTTATATTTAAGTTTCTTTAAAAATGTATTTATATACATATAAATATTTTTTCTAATATACTTGATATATATTGTGTATTAAAATTACCTTTGTTTCGCAACCGTGAGTTTTCAACAACATTTTGTTTTGTAAATTATTATAAGTCAGAAAAAAAATTAAGATTAAAAAAAAATTGCATTTTGTAAGTCTTATATAAATGTTCAAATCACAGTTTTATAAAAATTTTTTTAATGAAATTTATTGCAGTATAATTAACTTTTTAACAATAACAATTTTTTTATGATATAAATTAATGATAAATATAAAATTTGTCGCGCGAAATTTTCTAAAATAATTCAGTTTAACAAGGACTAATTTTTGCATATTTCTATGCAATTTTGTACATACTGCACATGCCATGTAGTTAATCTAATATTAATTCCAATGGTGTTAAGAAATGAGAATATTTAATACGTTATCATTATTACAATAAATTACAAACCGTTGTTACAGAATATAAACGATTAATTATCAATACACAATGCATTAAATTATGAAAACAATAAATAGTACGCGTGACTTTTGAAAAGCAAGATATATGTATATATTTTTTACAACCAATCGTGAAATAATCTTTTTACAAATATATGAGCAACGAAATAATGCTTGTTAATAAATAGATTGCATAGATGATACAATTATCAATCTCAAAAATTAATAATTTACCTTCACTGTTTTTTTTTTTCGTCGCATCCTATCAAAAATAGCATTTATCATCGCACAAACTTTGATTAAAAAATTAGGTTTACAATTCTCTATAAACTTTCGCTATATTACACTCTGGCACTTGAGATTAGTGTTACAAGATAATCAAATATCCTGAGAATATTCAGAGAATATCTTTATAAATTATACTATAGAGAATGTATATTCTCGATATATATCAATATAATTCCTATTTTTAATATTCTCAGGATATACTTCAAAGTCCCTTTTCCAGAGAATTCATCGAAATATTCTCCTCTTCGTACTTATTTTCCGAGAATATGTCCACGTTGCTGCTCGGCCAGTATTAATATGGACGATAATTAATGTTAATTGAATAACATCAGCTGGAGAACCCAGGGTTAGTATGTTCTATGACGCAACGTCGGCAATAGCGTTTGACCGCGCGGTAGCCGACCCACGTGACTCTGGAGCACTCGCCGATGTTGAGTTGCCGCAGGCCACGCACATAGTAGGCCAATGCCTCGAGACCAGCGTCAGTGATTCTCTCGCATCCGCACAGGGACAGCTTCTTCAGGTTCGGACAGCCGGTAGAAAGTGCCTCGAGAGTTGCGTCGCCGATGTCGCACTTGCCTATGTCCAGAGCGCGCATACGCGGACAACCGCGTGCCAGGGCGATGGTCGCGCTGTCGCTGAGCGCCTCGCAACCACGGGCGTTCAGGTAGCGCAGCTTGTAACAATGACGGGCGACGACCAGCAGACCAGCGTCGGACACGCGGTCGCACTTGCCTACGGAGAAGTAACGGAGCGATGGGCCGAGACGTGCCGCCAGCTCGCGCACCCCGAAATCCGTAACTTTCACGCAATCCGACACCGACAGCTGACGTAGGTTGGCGCAGTAGGAAGCGATGGTGGCCAAGCTGGAGTCGGTGATGCGGCTGCATCTACGTAGGTAAAGACATCCCAGGTGCGGCATGCGCGACAGGCTCAGCATTAGGCCGGAATCCTCGACGCCGTGGCAGTCGCTAAGATCGAGCGACTGCAGTTGTAAAATAGTGGTACGACCGCAGGCACGAGTAACATTAGGACAGCCAGTCAAGTCGAGCTCTCTGAGATGAGCACAGCTGTCCAGCACGGTGGTGACGTTGGCGTCGGTGACTCGACGCGAGTGTCGCAACACTAGAGAGGTCAGATTGAGGTACGGCAGTTGAGCGAAGATGCCGGGCAACCCGGTGGCACCTTCCAGGACCAAACGACGGACACAGGTGTGACAACCACGGCGCGTCAACGCGTTTAACGCCGCGGTGGCATTCTGTGGATAACGCACCTCGACCTCTCGCCAGAGTGTCGGATGCCACGCGATCTCCCAGAGTCGTCGGCAAGTCTGCGCCAGGGAACAACGGTCACGGGTGTCAAGCCAGCTGAAGATCCTCAGCAGCAGATTGTCGTCGAGCTGGCAGAGGTCATTGACGACGACGTGATGAACCAGATGATGCTTAGGCTGCGGTAGCTGTTGCTGCTGTTGCTGTTGACGAGTTGGCGTGCTGGATACACCCGGGGTTGACGAGGACGATGATGACGTAGTGCGGCAAGCATTATTGTCGAGGGTGTGGTAGCCCAAGTCGATAGTATCCGCACCTGGTCGATAAACGCCGACCTTCTGCGACGAGTAGCCTCCTCCCCGTTCAGAGCCGCTCTGCTCCCCGAAACTGGGAAAGAGGAGTGGGCATGATCCTTCCATTCCATGCTCCGTTCTACAATTTAGATATTCATTGCAGTACAATCATGTAATTTTTATACATTTATATTTCAAGTAGAGGTAAAAATTGTTTGGATCTGGAGAAGGTTTTATAGCAACATTTACGGATTTGTTCTTAAATAAACACACAGTAAAAATAACATTGGCTCAATGTTATCATTTCCTATTCAACAATATAACTGTTATTTACAACTTGTGTTATATTACACACACACATATTCTACATCTTACCATTTTAAACACTATTATTATTACTATTATTATTGTTACTATTCTTATTCTTATTATTATTATTTATATTGTTGAGTAGGAAATTATAATGTTGATGTAATGTTATTGTTACTTTTTGTGTTTAGTAGATTTTTATAGATTTGCTCTCACACACAGAATAAAAATGTAGACATATTTCTTGGAATTAAAGCACTGCAAATTTTAACTTAAAATTTTACATTTAAAATATTTGAAATTAACAATTAAAATTACAATAGGAATTGTTTTGGAATTTGTAAACAATAATCAATCATAGTGTAAGGGCAAAGTAAGAGTCAAAATAAATTAATTAAATTTTGGAATTTGTATCTAAAAAATACAGAAAAAATTCAAATTTTACTTGCTTAATTATTGGCCTGTATGTTATCTATAATAACAACATATGTCATGATGTAAAATAATTTACGGATAGTATTATTCTTCGAATTTACGAAGCTAAATGTGAAACTACCGCAATTCCACTTTTCTCGATAGAATGACTTTCGTCCTGCCTCAACGATAAGTTACGGTATTCGGAAAAAAAATGTTGCCACTGTAAAGTACGGATTCTCGAATTTTGCGCGGCCGTGGGTATTTACAGATTACAGGGCGCGAGTTATGGCACGGGGAGGGGCCTTATCGACGCGTCACGACCGTTTACGGCACGGCTTAACGTGCAAATTTCACAATTAACTCACAACGGGATGCTGGACGGGAGAGTCAGCGACCGTGCGTGACATCACCGAGCAATATCGATCTATCCGCCACCTCCTCCATGTTGATCCTGCATTCCAACTCTCAAAGCAGATGCGGGGCCCGAGCGCGTTTCACTCGCAAATGCATCGCTGAGGATCAATGTTGCTGCAGTGCACGGGGCGTGGCAGAGAGAGAGAGAGAGAGAGAGAGGGGGGGGGGGGGGGGGGGGGGGGGGGGCCCGAAGGACCGCGCGAAAATAGAGTCCACGCTCGACGTTCGCGCTCGCCCTGGAATCCACGAATTCGTCCAAATTGTTCGTGCGGCCGCCGAGAAACGTGCGCGTTTCGCGTTTCGCGAACGGAAAATCCGACATATGACAGGACTCCCGACACACTTACGGGGCCCCCCAACACACAATCGTGCATTCCCTCTCTCTTGTTTCCACGACCAGGGCCCCTGAGGCCCCACTCCAGTCTCCAAGTCGATCAACCGGGACTTCTAGCGGGCCCATGATGAAAAGTGCGTTGCGAAAAGTGCTTCGCCTCGTTGGAGACGCATATAACTCTGTGTGTTGAAAGGTTTCGCATGAAACCCGATAAGCTGCTTGATAGATAAATAAATAAATCGAATAAAATTTGTATAGAATAAACGAAATAAACGTAATAAATGGTAATAAAATAAATCGTGTACGAATGCGAAAATTTGGACAACGATTACATTGGTAAAGTGGCGATGTAAGTTATACTCTTAGGTGGGCCATCGTGTCTCATTTCAATATATATATATAGGGTGTCCCATAATTCATCTAATGGATTTGGTGGACAGACAGAGCGAACTAAACTGAGAGGAAAGTCTTGTACCATTTTACAATTTTCGCAATAGTTAACGAGATATTAATGTCTAAAGATTACCGAATACGCGCGTCCACCCGGACTACTATATATAGATAATCAAACTCGAATGATAACGTTAAAATTACAGTCTTTAATAAAAAAAAAATATATATGTATATATGTTTAAAATTTGATAATACTCGATTTTTATTAAAGACTGTAATTTTAACGTTATCATTCCACTTTGATTATCTATAGAGATAATAACTGCAGAGAAAAAATTGTAACTATTGAACAATATATAAGATATATAGCATTAGAAGTATGCGTATACTTATTTATACAGCATTTATGTGATAAAAAATCACGAATTTATAATAATGTATTATTTAAATATTTTATTAATTGTCGATAACGTTATTGTTCTTTAATTATCCCCGGGACCCCATTGACAGTCACGAAAATATTTGCCCAAGACCAAACGTATAACATATATAAGTACCTCGTTGGTGTCGTGGCATATTCTCCTATTTCTTCGCTGGAAATATCCGTGGACCTGCTGGTTACGTAGTTCAACGTACACGCATATAGAGGCGTTAGTAAATTTTATTTTAAATGCATAGATCATGTCCACTCTCAAGCTTTCTACAGTTTATGAAATTGCTATAACGTATGTGAACAAAATGATATTCACTGATGCACAAATTACAAAAGTAAGTCATGTTTATTTTTTATTGTTGCACTAAGTTGCATTAGAACTTCCACTCTCGCTTTTACCAAATTTCAAACATATATATATTTCTTCCAAAGTAGTATTAAGTATAAAAAGTTCGTACTATTTTATCAAAATTTGGGATGAAGGGGGTCTTCTTAATACTTCCCCTTACATTTTAAGAAAGGTATTTTTACACTTCGACATATATAATATTACAGATCGAAACAAGAACTTAAATTATAATGAGCTCTTCAATTTACGTCAAAGCCATAATTGATTTATAATCTTATTTTAATATATTTTATCGTTTACCCGTCTTAATCATATTATATACTTTGTAATATTAGTAATGACTTGATCGAAGTCTATTTCATATATTTATATTTACTTAACTGTTATTTATAGACAATAAATCCTTTCCCAATAGGAGAACGAGACAATCAAAATAATGTCAATATACGACGTACATACATTATTTTGATTGTTTCGTACTCCTTGTTGGCTTGTTTTAAATATCAAAATTATAACTAACCCCCTTCTCTACATACTTTATTTAATTAAAAAATATTATTGATAATTTTGAAACATGTAAAATATGCGGCAAACTGACAATGAGATATATGTATCTATCCGATATGTCACGTAAAAATGTAACATAATTCCAATCGAATCGTATCCATATTGCGTGTACCAAGTAATTGTGAAATTCATTATCGTGTTACAGTAGTTACTAAGAAAGAAAAGTAACAGAGTTATCAGTAAAGTTTAATCAAGAAATAACTTGTAACTGTAACACGATCTGAAAGTTACAGTTACAAGCAACGAGACAACTTCCATTCCATGTTTTTCTCATTTATAATTCGCGCGGTTTACATTGCGCGACGCCGACGATACCGTTGATCAAATCCAGCCTATCAGAATCGTCGTTCCGCCGTGTCGCCGTCGTGTGCGGCCTGCATGATGATGGTATATATGTATCACACCTAATGCTCTTGGGAACGAATTATGGCATTGTCTTTTATCAGGACTGGAGCACTGCAGTACGGAAATTTACACTTGCGTCTGTTAGCCAACGTATCGACCATGAAGGTAATATCGCGTGATTCTTTCTCGTCGATTAAAAAGCGGGCACCGAAACGGTTTGCTCCTCGGGAAACGGATGAGATATGAAATTCCTCGTGTGGAATCTCGGAAAATTCGAACAAGCATATAATGCGACACGATGCAATCCGTCGTCGTGTGCAAGTGCAACATATCTTTGGGCGTCTTATCTAAACTCTTTCCTGTCGACGTCAATAATTGAACGTCGACGGCGGTTTGATATTCCGTATTTCTCGGATAGATTTTACTCGTCGATGATCTCGTTCTATTATTGTCCGCTTCCCCCTGACATACTTATGCCCTTTTTTTTTTTTTTTTCCGTAGACGGGATTGGTATTGGGTGTATACGAAACCGAGAGCGAGGACAACGTCGTGCTTACCTCTACAGCGACCAAGTACAATGAGCTGGTTAACGGCAAGCTGTTGAAAAACATTCTGCTGTAAGTCTCAACGCCCGTTATACCTTTTATCACCGCTGTAAAAAATCTCTTTTGTGCATTCGTGCGATTTTAGAAACGGCATCACACCGTAGCGCCGTTCTGTGTTAGTATTGTATTATTTTTTTTTTTTTATCTAACAAGGCTGTATCCCTTGTGCGTCACTGTTGTAGAATATACTTGCCAGATTACTCTGCCTTGACTATTTGGACACATGTTGACTCGACGCGTTGAATACCTTCCAAATACCTTTGTTTATTTCTCCATATTGAACCCTTTCTTCTCTCAACAAAGTTAATCTATGTTTCTTCATGTGTGTGTGTGTGTGTATGTGTGTGTGTGTGTGTGTGTGTGTATATATATATATTTGTGTGTGTGTATGTATGTATGTATATGTATACACACATACTCTTAGCGCATACTTTATTTAACAAGCGTGTACACTAAGTTATAGTACAATGATATGTACAAGAAAGCCCCTTATACATTGCACTTCCAAATTGTTTCACTTTCGTTTGATCATACAATATAACAATATGTTTAAATCTTTTATTCATATTTCCAGCCTGAAACAATTGTTATAATGCTGCCTGAGCTTTATCTGACATTGAAAAGTGCTTTCCCTTTGTTATCTTAAAATTGTCATATATGAAGTATCATTTCTGTTATTAAAAATTTTGAATTTTTCAATGATAGTCTTGCGCAACACGAGCTCACTGGCATTATTTTCATTGTTTCAGGAGTGACTAGAGTGAGAGACGGTATTATACGCATGATATGAAGCGCAACTTGCTCCGCACAAGGATATCCGGGAAACACGCTGCGCTTTATAAATGAAAATATAATACTGCCTGATTTATATATTCTTTTCGACGATTCAGACGAAATTGAATAGGAGATTTTAAGCTGTTAAATCGTTGAGTTAATTAACCATCACTGCTTCAAGACTGACACAAGAATCGAGTAGAGTAATATAAGTAATGTCGACTCCTGGCGACAGTAATATGGGGAATGATAGCAGCGCAGGGAGCAGTGGTGGATTAGGCGACGGTAGCGGCAAATTTAATAAGCATCCGCCTACAAATGTGCTGCAGAGAATGACTGGGATATTAGAAGATAAGAGCAATGATTACATGTGTCCGATTTGCTTCGATCTTATTGACACAGCGTATATCACACGTTGCGGACACACGTTTTGTCATCATTGTATTGTAAAATGTTTAGAGATTAAGGACCGTTGCCCGAAATGCAGTTTCACGTTAAGCGAACAGGATATTTTCCCAAATTTCCTATTGGATGAGCTAGTTTCCAAGTATAAAACAAGAACTAAAGGTCTCGCTCAGCTAGGCTCATACGCGGATAATGGTAGGCACAGAGCGGCGGGTAACGATTCATCGGCACCGACATCTGACGGATTGAGGAGCATTGTAGCAGCGGAGAGCGCCAATCTCACTCTACCCGACGTAAATGTGATGTTGGAGGTGCTGACTCAACGAAAACATTTGCTCGAGGCAGAGACTTGTACGGCACAAAACAAGCTTTTACACGAGTTCCTCAAACACTTGCTGCAACAAAAAGAAGAGCAAAAGAATCAATTGCAAAAAGAAGTGGCGTTGATCAAGAAGGACATGGAGGAAGTGGAGAACATTCTGAAGGATGTTCAGAGCAAGTGTCCACGGGTAGAGGACGTCAAGAAGGCGAGTGAGAACGATACCGCACAAGTGTCAGCCATTAGACGAGAGATGCTCGGTCTTATAGATATAATAGACTCAAATATGATAAAACCTAGTGAGAAAGCTACCGACACCTTCACCAATCCAAGTGTCAGTCAGCCCGGTGGATCGACGCTAGCCATCCGCAGAAAGAGGCTGCACGCTCATTTCGACGATTTTGTTCAATGCTATTTTGACTCTCGCGGCAAAGAATTGCTACTCGGTCAGAAAATACAGTCTCAGAGCGAAGCTCAACAGCACGGCGGAGTGCACAACACGAGTTCTGGTCTAGACATCTTTCGCGAGAATCTCGTCAAGTTCTCAAGGTACAATTCCCTTCGTCCACTGGCCACCCTCAACTATTCGTCGGATCTCTTCAACAACTCAACCATCGTGTCCAGTATTGAGTTCGACAAAGATAACGAATTTTTCGCAATCGCCGGTGTTACGAAACGTATCAAAGTATTCGATTATGGTGCGGTTATTCGAGATACCGTCGACATTCATTATCCCTGCGTTGAGATGGTTTCTAGTTCCAAGATTTCGTGCGTCTCTTGGAATTCTTTTCACAAGGGAATGCTTGCGTCCTCGGATTACGAAGGCACTGTAACGGTATGGGATGCGATGACCGGTCAGAGAACAAAGGCGTTCCAAGAGCACGAGAAGAGATGTTGGTCGGTCGATTTCAATGATGTGGATACTAGATTGATCGCATCCGGCTCCGACGATGCCCGAGTCAAATTGTGGGCATTAAATACCGATTATTCCGTGGCGTCATTAGAAGCGAAAGCAAACGTATGCTGCGTGAAATTTAATCCACGCAGCTCATGTCATCTGGCATTCGGCTCTGCGGATCACTGCGTACATTATTACGATTTGCGCAACATGAAGGAAGCACTGTGCATATTCAAAGGCCACCGCAAAGCCGTCTCTTATGTCAAGTTCATCAACAAGGAGGAAATTGTATCAGCCAGCACGGATTCTCAGTTGAAGATGTGGAACATAAATAATCCACTTTGTTTGCGATCGTTTGTCGGGCATGTGAATGAGAAAAACTTTGTCGGACTCGCCACTGACGGCGATTACGTGGCCTGCGGATCAGAAAATAACGCATTGTACGTGTATTACAAAGGATTGACGAAGCAGTTATTCTCGTACAAATTCGATGCCGTTCGAAGTATATTGGAGGTACAAGACAGAAGAGAAGAAGATCTGAACGAGTTTGTATCTGCGGTGTGTTGGAGGCAGATGTCTAATGTCGTAGTAGCCGCTAACTCTCAAGGAATTATCAAAATATTAGAACTTGTTTGAGACAAGTAGGGAAAAGTAATTGAGCGGAGAACTTAACTGATTATGAGTGAAACGCATATTCAATTACTATAAATTAAAACGGGTCTAAATAATAAAAAAAGGTAACCAAACTAGAAATATATAAGAATATATAATAAGACAAAAATTTTACTTTAAGGAAAGATCTGTTGCTTTGGGTTTTTATAATATTTTTAGCCCGCGTACTTAGACCCTTTTTATTTTATGGTATCTCTCTTGTGATTATTTTAAGCGCCAATAACAACGAGAAATCACGGAATCATTCTAAATAGCGTAATTATAATAATAACGCGTAGTAAAAATTTTTACTATTAAAATAATCTGTAGATCAAATCGATATAACGTTAAATGATGCATCATCGGCGAATAAAACTATTGCAAACGAAGATCTTTGATCCATGCTCAATATACTAGAGAGCACAAATTTTCTCTAAACTATATATGCTATGTGTATAATTCAGAATTTACATTATAATTCTAAATTATATGCCGTGTGTATTATGCGTATATAATTAGGAAAATCAGTACTGTTAATAATTACACTTTCGTATCTTGAATCTATTTTCTAATCTAATTTAGGTGTAATTCTATCTCAACAGACTGAATCGTAATGATAAAAGGTTTTGCATTGTTATAATATATTCAAAAAATATATTCCTACGTATGACTTATACGAAACGATCTTTCGTAATTTTACGTTATCGATACTTAACATTTGTCGGAGATACCATAATTGTATGCTTGCTGATTGTATTTTGTGCAGATATACATGTATGCACGTACATACATATATCTATATATATTTTTAAATATGCTTGTGTGATGTAAGAATGGCTTAATACAATAAGTATACAGTACTTTTGGAAGCAGCAGTTCGAATCTGCAAAAATTTACAGCTGTGTATGCATGTGTTCGAAAGTGATTTTCCAATAACGCTTTTTAATGTTCGAATAATGATTATTTTAAATCTTAATCTCCATAATCTATTCTTAACGCAAAACTTAAAAATGATAAACATATTTGATAACAGCACAATTTTTTTTTACAAAATTTTCATAGTAAATCAGAAATGTGCACTTGTTTAAGGCTCCTGCCTACTCACTGTAGCCTCCTTAAATGTCAAAAGCGACAAAAATACATTTAAAAAATTCTTGCATATATTAAAATATATTTCTTAATAAAACATTTGTTATCGCTAGAATAGATTTGTAAATATATCGAAAATTGTTGTGTTAGTAAGTACAGTATATAAGAATTTTCAAGTTTTTATTATGATGTAATTAATAACTAATCATATATAATTACAATCATATATATTTAAAATTAAATTTCTTAATCAGAAAACAAAACAAGTTATATGAGGCTAGGTTTATGCTTCAGGTCTTATCCCTAAAATCCTAAAATTTAGCCAATAAAGCCGCCAGTCCTAATCGAAATCTGTATTACATTGGCTGAATTTTGAGATTTTAAGACCGAGGCATAAACCAGATATAACAATTGTTTTGAATTTAATTCTACTCCGAAATAAAAGGAGTGTACGATATATTTTACAAATCTATAAATGCAAATATTGTTTTATTAAAAAATATTTTCATATTAATATGTATAAGGAGCCTTAAGATTTCTAAAGATTGGAAAAATTGAAACATCAGAAATCATTAAAACTAATACGTATATATATTGAAATGTAATATAAAACTGATATATATATATGTAACTTCGACTGGCAATCGTATACAAATCGTACCTGCATTTTCTTAGAAATCACTAGTAATTGCAATATTTCGGTATTTTTAATATCGAATAAAATATCGATATTTTCGCTGCCACGTGATAGAAACATTAAAAAAATTTTTTGCATTTTGACGAAATTTGTAGCTTAAATTGACTTGATATCACATGATTGCACAATCTTGTAAACACAGACGTGATAAGTAATCATTCACCTCAAATATTTTTTACATCGATAAAGGTATATGTAGATAACGATAAAAATATTTTTATTGAAACTGACTTACGATATTTCTTTACTGGATATTAATTTTTTTTATTGATTACATATATTATCGTCTTTATGTTTAATTCTGCTGTTAAAAAGTTTGTAATACTACGTTAGCTTAATTGAAACCATGAAGGAAGGTATAAGGAGACAACAATCAGTCTCGCCAGTCTACAAAACAAGGACCCATTTTAGGTTTCGAGTTCAGTTTTCGATTCTCGACACTCGCAGCGCTCGTGAATTTAGTAGTGTTGCGCATAATGAGTGCGAATAAGAGAAATGATCATTTCTCTTACTCGCACTCATCAGAATCGGAAACTGAACTCGAAACCTAAAATGGGTCCACTTTTATTTTACGGAGTGGAGTCTCCTTATATCTTACTTCCTGATTAAAACATTGAATAATTGAAGAACATAATTAAAGCAAAGCAATTATGTTTTAAGTAACATGAACATTGTTTAAGAAAAGAAATTGTACAAAGGATAAATAGAGGAATGAAATATATTGCAGTAAGAATAATATTCACATAAATTTTCAGAATGTGAAAATGAGTAGATTTTAATTCTTTTTTTTTTTTAAATAAAATTGCTCTTGTCATAATATCAATGAATCTATGATTCCTTTTGCGGTTAATATGTGTCTAATTATATGTAAATCTATTTTCTATTAAGTTATTTTACTATGCAACTATGCCAAGTAAACCCCATGACACAGTCACATTACTAGTTATAGCGTTATTGTACATAAAATTTATGAAGTTTATCAACAGATTTCATTGTATATTATATCTTAAGCTGCTAAATAGGTTGTAATGATCGTTTCAACAGTGTTAGTGAAAACTGAATGTGAAACAGTTCCGTAACATAATGTATCGACGTTGATACTGTAGCTCAAAAAAAACAGCAGTTGTGAATTAATGTGTAGCTATATTCACCGAAGTGAGTAATTGTAAATGTACCGATGTATAATGTATAACTGGATGAAAAAAAGAATATTCTAGAATAAAGAATAGTATATTTTTAGAATATATTTTAAAATCGCAAGTACACCATACAAATAATGATGAATGTCAAAAAAATGCCTAGATTTTATTGTAATTAATAAATTTCTGAATTTGTGTCTGAATATTTTTGTCTACTAAATGTGTTATTATCGCATATCTTTCCTCATAAATTGTTATGATCAAATTTTTTCACTAACTTTGAACGAATGTTTGCGCTACAGAGCAGGACCAAAGATCCCTAAAGGTCATGCTAGAGTGTTTTGGGATTTGGATGGAACAGATTACTCCGGAATCGCGGTAGTTGGACTAGGGAAACAAGGTCTTGGTATTAACAAACTTGAGGAGATTCACGAAGGGAAGGAAAGTGTACGTGCTGCCGCAGCAGGTAATCTTTCGTATTCAAATTATATATCATATAAATACAGTCATTTCACTTTGTTATACTCATATCTTTTTAGATAGTATTTTAAGCTCAATATACCAACATATATGTGTATACTAAATTAAAACAAATTTAAAACACTGTATTATCTTATTAAATAATATTAATTTCTTTTATATGCATTTAAGATTATAATGTAATTATAGTTGTTTGTGATATACAGGATGGTTTATCCATTTTTTTTTTAAACAGATTGTAAAGAAAGATTGTTAAAAAGAAAATTGTATTATTATAAAATATTATACATATATTCTATTAAAATTTTATCGTTCTAGCGGGATGCCGTGCACTAGATGATGTCGAGATAAAGGATATCAAGCTAGAAACGCTAGGAGACGCGGAAGCTGCCGCCGAAGGAGCTGGTTTATCCACATGGCTTTATCAAGGATATAAAAATGAAGAGAAGAAAAAGAAATTACCAAAGATTTCGTTATACGGAGAAGAAGGAGAGTAAGTAATATTTCTTTATGTTTATAAAAATGTTAAAATTGAAAAATATAGACCAACAAAAAGAACACAAAGTTGTTGATACAGCGTTTATACGCAATAAAGTGCATATTATTATTACTCCTTTATTCTATATTAATTAAATAATAAGTACGTTTTACAATGTTTTATACAACGATTTAAAATACAAAATTAATAATTTATTATTTTTTAAAGGGCAGAATGGCGAGTTGGTATTATTAAAGCCCAGGCGCAGAACTGGGCTCGCGAGCTTTCGGACACGCCCGCGAACCTGATGACCCCAACAATATTTTCGCAACGGGTTTTTGAGGTTTTGACAAATCTCGGGGTTGACGTACAGGTGCGCGACAAAAGCTGGGCCGAGCAGAAGAAGATGGGTTCGTTCCTTAGTGTGGCGCGCGGTAGCATCGAACCACCCAAGTTCCTTGAGATCATTTATAAGGGCGCTGAGAATCCGAATGAGTCGCCGATAACGTTTGTTGGCAAGGGAGTCACTTTCGATGCCGGTGGCATCAGTCTTAAGGTAGATCGCTCTTTCTCTATTTCTAGAAATAATTAAAGAGGAAATGAGATTTAAAGGTACATGATTGCTTGCAGCCGTCATCGGAGATGGATGAAATGCGCGCTGATATGAGTGGCGCCGCCTGCGTGGCCGCCACCATCCGAGCTGCAGCGGAGCTTAAACTGAAGAAAAATATCGTCGGACTGATTCCGCTCACGGAGAATCTACCGTCCGGACATGCGACAAAACCAGGAGATCTAGTGCGGGCGATGAACGGCAAGACCATCATCGTAGACAACACCGACGCAGAGGGCAGGCTGATTCTCGCTGATGCGCTGTGCTATGCTGAACAGTTTAACCCAAGGTTTGCTTGAAATTATAAGTTTTTTTTTATTATAAGTTCTTTTTCTATCCTAAGTTCTGAACTGATGATGAGTTATTGTATGCATTGTATCATATTTTATCAATACTTTCGGCAGAGAAATTATCTAAAATAATTATAAACAGATAAGTATCTTCAATCTAAATACAGATGTATCTTGGATATCGCTACATTAACTGGTGCCATGAGAGTCGCCTTGGCTAACTCCGCGACTGGAGTCTTTACCAATGACGGCAACCTTTACGAAACTCTAAGAAATGCTGGTACGATAACTGGCGATCGAGTATGGAGATTTCCTCTGTGGCAGCATTTCACGGATGAAGTGACGAGTGAGTGATTCAAAGAATTTATGTACACGTTACATTATCTGTAAAATAATCTTATTTTAGAATTTTTTTTCTTTATATTGTATATTCATTCTTTATCATCTCCAGATTACTGTTCCGTTACTAAATGTCCTAATAATTTTCAGAAAAAGTCAAAGGTGCTGATATAAATAATATCGCGAAGTGCAAAGGTGGTGGCTCGTGCACTGCCGCTGCATTTTTGAGGGAATTTGTTACCAAGGATACGCCGTGGATGCATCTGGACATAGCTGGTGTCATGGGTCCTGCCCACGACGAATTACCGTATATCCCGGCTGGAATGACCGGGCGTCCAACACGTACGATTATACAATTCTTACAAGCGCTCTGTTAAACGGTCTGCAGGTGGTCATTTTACGTAACTCTTACACGTCAAACGTGTCCTTGTAATTTTATATACATATATGTAAAAGTTTACACAGAAGAATATGTATATAGAAATATACACACACATACATTTATATATATATATATAGGGGAATTATGCCTAATATGGACAGGATTATATTGGATCCATTCAATCAGACTTGAAATAACAAGGTTCAGAATGATAAGGTGATAAAACGCATAAACAACTTGTCGCAGGCCAGTAGCAACATTTTTTAAATCTTATTGATAGATAAAACCAGACTCATCGGTCAGGTTTCTATGAAAGTTTAAGACTAAAGATATTGCAAGTTGAATGTGTGTGTGTACTTTAACGCGATTAAAAAATTATCTTTAGTATCAGCAATGTGAATATTAAATAAGCTGAAACTTGAATTGAATGTTACAAAATTTACAATAACAAATTCTAGCAAGGATCGTGATTTCTGCATGATATGAAACTTTGCCATTACTATAAGAACGTTAGAAAATGTATACAGGATGATATAATCTAATCGATTATATTATTGACAATTATACACAATCCTTGGAATCAAAATTATGATACCTCGCCATATTGGGCAGTGCCTACATCTTTTAAGTTACCACTTCTTATACGATTAAAATATATAATCCGTAAAAGTAATGTATACATGCGATGGAAAAGGTATGAAATAAGAATACTTAAAACATCTACATATGAAAGCTGCTCATTTAAAAAAAAACAATGTTCCCATTTGTCAAAGGCATCTCTAGATACATTCTGTGTGTGTATCATGTAATTTAATAATTATGTATTCGTTGCATTTTAACACATACGAATTTTTATAAAACTTATCAAGTTATTTCTATTAGTAAACCCTAGCTCTTTGAACACATTTTTATAAATCACAATACTTGATTTATTTCATTAAAGAAAAACATCCGGAAAACCATTTTTTTATCTATTAGACACTATTCCCCTATATAAAATATACAGTTTCCATTACAAATTGAAACTGATCACCCTATTTTATACATGTGTCTATCACGTTTAATCACAAAAACGGTTTTAAAAATAAGTTTTATACAACTTTTTACAATTTTGTACAGACGAATTGCTTTCGTATGTTAAAGCTAACAATGAGCTTTTCTTTTGATAAATATTATTGAAGACCTTATTATAATCAGGATTTTAAACTAGCTGGAATAGTGAAAATAAGGAAGCGTGCTCTATATATGTATATAATTAACATTCGTATTAACTACATGTATCTACAGTGCATACAATATAATATTGTACAGAATGAAAGTGTTCCATATGTTGTATGTATATGAATACATCATTTAAAAAATAACGAGTAATATAAGCATTCTGTCCTGAGCTTGTAAAAGACAATATATAAAAATTGCCTATTAATAGAAAAAATAGATTTATTTTTATCATATTAAATCGATAATTCATATATAAAATATTTCTTTTGGTTATCATATTACATGAAAAACAAACATAAAATTTGCTACCCCCATTGTACAATGTTTTCAAGTACTATCTACATTCTAACTATATAAACATAAATAATTGTAAATAAAACTAACACTTTTTAAGTAACTTTTTTTTTAATAATTGTTTTAATTATGTATAAATATTAATTTTTTATTTAAACTAAAATTTAATTATTCTACAATGTATTGCGGTATAAAATTATCGTACATGTTTTATCTTAGTAAAGTGCTTTACCTTATATGTGCGTTTATAAAACACATCGCGAAAGTATTTACAAAAAGTACAATAATGTGTGTTGGTACAAATTATTAATCAAATAATTAAAAATGATATAAAACTAAAAATATGTTAATAAAGACAGTAAAACGTTTAGAATTTTTGAAAAATCTTGATTACATTTTAAGATTTGTTTTATGTGTATTAATGCTATCTAATGCTATCTAATGAGTGTATATTACAATTATACACACGGAATATGTCACTTTAAAGAATTTATGTAAACATGGATAAAAATTTTAAGTTTGTACGTAAATGTTCAGGATAGAAATGCTTATATTAGTGCGACCAACAAACGTAATATTCATTTTGATTTTGCACAGTACACTAGGTAATGTACATTTTATTGATATCGCACAAACAGTATATTTGATAGGTGTCCAAAGGCACTGCAGAAGCGATGAACGCAGTTTATTATAAAAGTCGGCGATCTCAGAGAATATAAACTAACGATGTAGTATAAAGAAATAGGAAGATATCCTTATCCTTAGTGTACAAGTAAAAGTATCGTGTTGCTCACATCTCACATAATCACGTTGTTATGTACAATTTATTGCCGCTTTAGTTGCAACGTATTATCATATTTTTGTCACTCTATGTTGCAATTTTACATTTTCCACGTAAGCTCGCCTCCATCTTACGATTTCTGCGACTAGTACAAAGAATACAAAATGTCTGTCTTTCGCGTACAGAACAGTTTTAGAAGGAATGCGAAAGAATGTTCGTAACGTCAATTCAAAACTGAATCACAATAAAACTGGCACTACTAAAATGCGTTTACCATGGAGACTTCAATAAGCTCGTAAATTATATAATATTTGTATGCATTGTTGTGTCTATTTCCACAATATAACAGTAACGCATATCAACTGCACTTTAATTATCAGTATTTTCATCACTATCATTATCATTAATATAGCACATTCAAATCAACAATCCGACATCGAACACAACCTCATAACAACCAAATGTGCTTGACCTTGGAAATACAAAACATAGTCTCTCTCTCTCTTCCAGAAGAAGAAATTAAAAGTGCCACACATATTATGTGCAAGGCGGAGGAGGCTGCTGTTGCGGAGAGGGAAGGGGCGCCGCCGCAGCAGCTGCGACTGCGGCAGCAGCAGCGTAGGACGACGGGTCTGAGGGATCGAGAAGCGGTGGCGGCGGCGGTAGGCCGCTGCCACCGCCGCCTCTTCCTCTACCTCGGCCTCTTCCACGACCCCGGCCCCGGCCCCTCCCCCTTCCGCGTCAACTCCGCCTCTCTGGCATCCCTATGTTGCTCGTTGTCTTTTCAAGGTAGGCCAAGGGCCCTTGCAGAGCGCTACTGCCCATCCCGCCGACCGGGAACCCAGTTGCTCTGCCACCTACACCACCCTGTGCCATGAACATGCCCTGCTGATTGACTGGCACACCAACACCTTGAAGGCCTGACGTAGGCGGGCCACCAGAACCCTGTTGCACCTGCAAAGTCACATCAAATGAAGATGTATCATGAGAACCGATACACAACGATGATGTTTTCTATGTATGAGTGCAGCAGAAAGATGTAATACAGCGAAAATAATAAGCTTTCATTCAATGTTTACATTTTAGTTTTTGATATAATATAGAAAAGAACTATACGAATTACTCTATTATACTTTCATGAAATAGCTATTTAATAATACGCTTTACATGCATGTATATACGTTCAAAAAGATAGACAATAATCGAAGTCAGATTTATCGGGAATGACAATAAGTAGGCGAGGGAAATAAAAGAAAGCACAATATTTTTTTCTAGTTTTTTTTTGCTATGAACAAAGATATTTATTCTGCCGTAATATCTATTTATGAGTTCAAACAACGTGAGTGAAATAGTATCTCCCAGATTGCAATAGCTATAATGCTTTTCTTATGAGTTATTTTCAAATTTAATATTTAAATGTTCTATATATTATTATTTATCATATAGATATGTGTAAAGAAACAGGGTTACACAATGAAACTTCGACATTTTTTAATGTTGAAAGAAACGCATACAGATACATGTTTTGGGATATTTTTATTATAAAGAACAAATGGAAATTATTTACAAAAGATTATCAAACTTTCACATAAACATTTTAGTGATATGAAGGATATCGATTTTATTTCATGCCAAATACGCTGTAACATGTTATTAACTATGGTGTTAATGGTGATCACAATTCGATTGCGCAAAATATTCACGTTTAACACATTGGTGAAGTAAACTGAAAATGTTGCACTTAATTCTTAACAGACTTGTAAACTCCAATGAGGGAGCGCTTTGTCTTGTTAGAACACAATATTTAGATATAAGTGTATAATTTGTGGAAATACACAATTCTAGCATGTTCAGATAATTATTAGGCTAATTCTACAATGTGCTTTTTGTTTCCTGTTTCTTGCCGTTTGTCTCTTGCCTTTTTGATCAAGAAGGTAAGAGATAAACAGCAAGAAATAGAAAACAAAAAGCACATTGTAGAATTAGCCTAACAAATTAGCCTTAGAGTAACACAGTGTTAGAGCACAAAAAAATGGTCCGATATTTATGTTTTCTTTTATTGGAACTTACGAGTTAAATGTTAAATATAATTAAATGAATATTTTGCGCAAATCGAATTATGACTACTATTGGCATCATAACTAATGACATGTTGCAGTATACTTGGAATGAAAATGAATTCCATCTCAAAATTTTTCGTATTATTAAAAATGTTGATATAAAAATTTGGTAATTTTTTGTAAGAAACTCTTTTAGTTATTTTTTACAATAAAAATAGTCAGAAATATGTATGTGTGTTCGTTTTTATTTTGTATCATTTTAAAATATCGAAAATTCATTATGCACACTTTGTATACCTTTTATTTAGACATACATATTATATTAAATTACTTGCGAACAAAATTTGACAATAGTTATTTTAATTTAAGTAACAATGTTTTGTTACCCATTTTCATAATTATAGAATGCAATTTACGTAACATTACTTAATGCGCATGCATACAATATCTACATGCAAAAGAGTGAACCTCTTATATACATATGTATATTTTTTCTATGAATACAGAAATATGACGCTAATAAATGTTACTCATAAGACAAAAATATTAAAAAAAAAATAGACTGAAAAATTATATATTCATCTCTATACGTTTATAGTTTTGTTACTTCTCTCTTTATATACATATCTAATCTTTAAATAATTTTTAAATATAGGTCTTTCTCTTTCTTTCTCTCTCTTACAAAATGATGTCAAATGTACAGATGATCATTAGGTCCTATTAATATGAAGTATATCAATTATGAATACTCCTAAGTTTTATTGTTGCCATTAACAGATTACATATTTTTTGTCTTTTTTTAAATAACTATTTGTACATTATCGTTTATTATTTTGGCACCATTTTACAACAGTTTGTACATACAGTTAATCTTTCGATATACTTAATGAAAATTTATATTTTTTTATATATATTTTTACATCATAATTATAAGAAAAGCATTTTAAAATTAATTTCTCTTTTGTACAATATATTTCTTTGTTCATATAAAATTGTATAAGGCACTGATATTACACAGCATTATAATTGTCGCGCGTATGTGGCAAACCAACTGTCTCGACTATTCAATAATTAAAAGAAATTATTCAACATTCTACAGTAATTTCAGTCATCAAAAAGAAAAAATGTATTAACTTAATAACATAACATGATTCTAATATAAATGTGATTCTCTGCACACGTGCATTTCCTTTCGCACAGACGTACTCAGTACTCACACATATAAACAGTCACGCATCTCAGAATAACAGAAACTTATCTGTATGTATAAATCACAAAATGTTAACTGGTAACTGTAGTAAATGTATTTCAGACCTATCCAATTTTAGCTGCAAAGTCAAAATGTAAAGCCATTGACGCAAACAATGTGAGACTTTGAGGATTGTATATAAAGTGTTAATAAGTATATAAGTGACAAGGGTCTGGGCGTCGCTCAAACATTTATTAATTTACACTCCTCGAAATTTTATCCACATTAAATTTTTTTGCATCATTGGCTCATTTTGACTTCGGAGCTAAAATTAGACCAGCCTGATTGTATACATTGATTACAGCAGACTACAGTAAGTGAAACATTTCATGAGTCAATATTTTGATTGTGATATAAATACATATAAATATATAGAAATATATACATTATAATATATGCACTGTCTATATTATAATTATATACCATATTTACACTGATATATATTATTATAAAAGAGCCAATCTCTTGATATAAATATAACTGCATAATACAAGAATATAGATTTAACATCAAAATCTCGTTAAAATCTCGATAAATAAATTATGTGAATAATTTATAGATTTAAATGATTACATGAAAAAAAATGCTTATTGACGAAGTTATAGGAAATTCTATGTCATAATCTTCATTTATATAATCTTCACATCAGTTTCACACTTTTCAATCGTACTATCAATCGCTTCACACACTTTTTCTTCACTTTCCTTTCAATTATTAAAAAAGTATCTTTTCAATATCAAATTTAACAACAATCTACCCGAAAAATAGAAAAATTTTAGCTTTGGCATTACTTAAATACCTGTGGTTGCAACGAATGTTGCATTTGCTGCTGCAATTGTTGCTGCAATTGTGGATGCTGCTGCTGCTGCTGTTGCTGCTGTAACTGCTGTTGCAATTGCTGCTGATGTTGCAGTATTTGCTGTTGTTGCTGTATCGAAGCATTACCACCGCCTCCTGTAGCCTGCTGATTTTGTCCGCTTTGATTTCCATTGGGTAATCCTATTGGTAATATCAGTGTTATCAATTATTGAATCTGTTGTAATTATCATTAGTTTCATATTACCACTGGGCGCTGGGCCTTGAGCAGGTGACTGCGCCCATCCCTGTAAATCTGACAACATATTCTGCCAGACGGCAATCTTATCGTTATGTCTCTTTATCAATTCTTCTTTGCGTGCTAACTCCAGTTTCAGCTCATTGATTTCTTCCTTAACCAACATCTCGGGTTTCAACGCAGATAACAGAAATCTCTTTTGTAAAAAGAAAGCTTCCATTTGTCTGGCCAGGTCTATAAATCTCATGGTAGCCTGTTCTATTTCTGCGCGACCTTCATCTTTATCTACTGTCAAACCGCCAGATGCACCGGTTCCACTGTTGCCCAATCCCTCATCTTTTGTCAATATACTTAAACATTGCTGAAAAACAAAATAAATGCTATTCAATAATATAATCTACTACTGTTTAACATCTTGTCAATATTAAATCAGCCAATTTACAGTATGGTTCTCTCGTCTCATATTCAAATATTATTTTTTAAAAATTTAAGGTCATCTTAACCATAATGTATATCATATTCCAAGAAACTTCTTTGTAAAATTTATTACTTTGATTTAATTTATACTAATGAGGACCTAAACAAAAGATCAAAACATTTATTTATATAAAAATGTTTGTAATAAGGCTCAATAAATTTAAAAGTAATGACAAAGAAAAAGAGCTACAAGCCAAAAAATTCGTTAAAATATACAATTGTTTGTAAATAAAAATTTTTTTCATTTGGTTAAAATTACATAGGTTAATAAGAAAAAATAGATAATAGACGTTTCGATCTCTATTAGGTCATTATCAATGTTACAAAGATGCAAGCTGTTAACAAATGTTTGAAATCATAGAATCATAAAATTACAAAAACATAAAAAAATATAAAATATATATATATATATATATGTATAAATAGATGTATAATCTCATTCGCTTAGTTAAAGTCGTATTCATTTCGGCACACCAGCAAGAATCCATAAAATAATGCATTCGTCTAGTTATAATTTTAACCAAATGACAATTCTTATTTACAAACAATTGTATATTTTAACGAATTTTTGACTCGTAGCCCTTTTACTTTTTCATTATGTTTATTTATATTATTGTATAATTTCTAATAAAGTTATCCACAATTCACACGAACGACTATAAGTGTTGACTCACATTGGCATTATTTATACTTACGAATGACACTCAATTAATAATAATATGGAGCAATATAAAATGACTGTACTACCTGAAACGATTCTTCGAACTCGTCGACGAGGTTACCGCTGCTGTTGGTCGGCGTCGCCATTACGATGTTATAGCCACGTGGAACCGCGCGCGAAAATAATTATCCCGACTTCGTTATCTCGATTGATTACCTTGATCTCGCGGAAATACGCGAACTCTTTTCGCACGCAACATACGATCGTTATGATCTCTTCCCGCCGATTTGCCACTTCTTCTTTTTCTTTAATTAATGGCTCCCGCTTCCAAACAGTAAATAGGAGGTCGATACAGCCAGATCATGTCCGAAATGAAATTCTTTATAAAAATGTAAAACTTAATAATATAAGCAATAGACTGCCGTGCAAAGCGGAGCGTCCAACGTGGAGCTAAATGCTTACACTAAATAACCTCACTTCTTAATTTATGGCTCCTCTCCTGCCTCCTTGAAGTGGAGGCAATACGACCAAATCACGTCTTATAGTAATGTGGCAGGACTTTGATTTGGTAGGAATACAGAATGTCCTGATCTGAAATCGACGCTTCGAGACGGAGAATTTGCCGTCTTCGCCTCGCTTAACACAACTGAACACAATCTAAAAAGGTTGTGTTCCTCACGGAGGGACGGAGGGGACACCGGGACAAGCGATATACGAGGGATGTGTCCCAAAATTGTTTGCCAACGGATTCAGCAGTTGAGTGAGCGCTCGCTGTTAATTGGTATATTCTTTTAGATCATCCAATCAGAATTTTAGATCTAGAAAAATGCACCAATAACAGCGAGCGCTTATTCAACTGTTGAGTCCACTGAACACACCTATGATTATATGTGGATCAGCCTTGATTCTTGATTAAATACATTTGTCCAATCCTAAAATCAGTAGCAATCATTTCCCGTCTGGCGTTTATTATTATTTTGTTATTTCATGCTCATGATCTTGCGAATTTTGCCCATGATATATGTTTTGTGTCACGATTTTGCCCAAGTTTTACTGATGTTTCTGTTGATCTTGTGAAATCTTGAAGCATACATGGTTAAGTAAAAATAACGAATATATATAAATCAGGAATTTTCGAATTTTTTATTTGGTGGTGAGTATTCAGAAATTGCCTAAATCACCTGCCAATTGTTGAAAATGAAAGTCAATAATTACAATTTGCTTGTTATGAATCTCGAAAGTTCTAATTCTTATTTTTTATATTATAATTTTCTTTTATACTTTTATATTTTTCTTTCTTTTATACTATAATTTGTATTTATTAAAACAATATGAAATTCATTAATCTCTTGAGATAGTATTGTAAGTACAACAATGTTTTCTCAAGCCTAAGTGTGTTGACTGTCGTTTACGGGATGGACAGTCAGGTGTGTGGAGACGGCAGGTTGATAGATGTAATTGACGAAGGCTGGCGCAAGGAACGTCTACCCATTGATGACATCTCGACGCCAGTAGCTGAGCTACCAGATCCTGAAAGCGACAACGGCGATTCTCATATGACATTAAAGGAATTGGAGCAGAAATGGAATAATCTGGCATTAAGCTCTCTCAGTGATAATCATTTGCATTCTCCAACACCACTACATAACTAGATAAACTTTCAATTTCCCCAATTGTCAGAAAATACAATAAATTCAATATAATTTTGATTTGCTGCTGCACCACAATGGAATTTCCAGAGACTGGCAAACGTTGTTCAGTGAAAGATTGCAAATTGTTGGACTTTTTGCCATTTGTTTGCGAGCATTGTCAGGTAACTTTTTGTAAAGAGCATTTTAATATGGAATCACATGAGTGTTTGAAAACAGAGAATTTAAAATCTATTGTGGAACAATCGACAAGCTTCGTATGCTCTAAAGAATCTTGTCAGGATGCATCATCCATCGAGATGCCTTGTGTCAAGTGTAAACAGCATTTTTGCATAACACATAGACATCATGGATGCTTGGAGTTGAGTGAAGCAGAAAAGACACAAAAACTGAAGAAGTGGCAGATACCAAAGAAACAGTTTGCAGAAGCAAAAGCTATAGTCGATCAACAAATTGCAGACAGTTTGAAGAAATCCAAAAATACGGCATTGGCAAATAAAGTGTGTTATTTTTATGAACCGTAAATACTTTTATATGATAGAAATATCAACGCACATAAATTCTTTTTCCTCTAACAAATTCAATCTTTTTCTGTTTGCAGGTACAACTTATGCGTGTAAAATGTTCTGCAATTGGTCCTAAAAATGTACCAACGAGCGAAAGAAGTTACTTTCTTGTACATTTACCACTGACAGTAAAAAATAAACACATAGGTACTTCGAAAGGGACCTTTGTTAGTACAAACTGGACGATTGGCAAGTGTATAGATTCAATAGCAGACACACTTAAAGTTCCCAACAATAATGATACAACCACCACGAATAAGTTAAAACTATTCCGTCATTCTACCGGAAATTTGATATGCAGCAAAATGGATACACCTTTAACGAAATTATTTGAAGATTTGGCTATTTTCGATGGAGAACGAGTTATTCTGGAATATTCTGATAATGTACCTGATAATGTAATAGATCCATCTTTATATAAATAAGTATTGTATGTATGTATATTACTTTTATTGTAATGAAATTTGAAATTAAATTAAAAAATAACAGGTAATATAATTTACTAACTACACAACTATCGAAACGGTGTACTTTATGTTATATTATGATATACAGGATTTTATGCAATTTTGTTATGTAATTTGATGTATCGATAATGGCAAAAAAAAAAACAGCTCTTAGAATAATACTTGTTTATTACAAACTAGAAGGTTTTATATCAGTTTTACATTTATTCTTGACAAAGAGACACCTAAATGCATTAAATAAATCATTTATACCAGATTATTGTCAGATTTGTTTAAAATAAAAGAGTAACGATATTCTGACTTTTTGGCACTGGACGTTTCTTGTTTCATACACATGAATTATGCTAATGCAGCGACAGAGAAGTATAAATTAGTTCATATATTCAAATAAATGTGCGTTCATTCATAGTTTTACAAGATATGGCATCGCATACACTACAAGTGAATGAGAATTACCATTAAGAATTATCAGTACTGTAAGTTCAACAGTGCACGTACATTCACTTATTTATAGAATAACAATACGTTTGTAAACATTAATTACAAAAGAAAAAGAAGTAAAAATTGCTTATATGTGTTACCCTAATAATGAAATGCATTTAATAATATAGAAGAAAGACAAGTCAATAACATTTACACCTAGCTAGTAGAGCAAATTAATATTTTAAGATTAATTTACAAAATGATATTCATATCTAATCTCAAATTCATTATGTTCTAACTTACATATTTCAATGGAAGTAACATATGTGTGAAAATGTGTACTCTGATGTTATCTGAACTCTTTTATGCCCATTTCTACCAATTTAATCTTGGTTTAACTCTTCATATTTTTTTTAGTTCTAAGAATTAAAAAAGGATAAGAAGTAAATTAAACCAGGATTAAACTAAATCTATATTAGTAGAAATAGATATCAGTCCCGAAATATAATAGGTGTAACGAACTTTAAACCGAAAGAAATTGACAAATCACAGTCAATAATTCTCTTCATATCTAATTGTGATTGATCAACATCTTATAGCTTACAGTTTATTACATCTATTATTTTGGGATTTATATATAAAATAAGCTTTTATTTCACTTGTTATAAGCCTGGATTTTTATTTTCTGGTTAACTTATCATTAGATGGTTAGACTCAATCTATATCCATTGGGCTTCATCTATAATGTCATGGATGAAACCTATTTGGTGTAGCATTAGATTAAATTTAATCACAAATTAACCAGATAATGAAAAATTGGGCCTTAATAGTACATCAATATTACCATTAAAACAATGTTGTGTCAATGTGCTGAAAATGATGGATTATACACTGTAACAAACTATCTCACGCTAGAAAGACAAGATGATATCAGATCTGAAGATCTTAATTTAAGCAAATTGCCTCTATATATTGCACAAAGTACATTGAAATTCTGATAAAAGAAAAAAAATGAAAATTTACAAATTGGCTCGTGGAAGAAACAACATTTAAGGAACAAATATTATCATGAAATACAGCAATTTTTCTATAACATTATTATGTAACGTAATGCAATGTAATGCATCGTAACATGCTTATAAAATGCATATTACAGAATTTATCATGGAATTAAATATCTCTCTCACTTTTGTCTTTAACTCATTTTAGAGTTAGTCGTATGTACAGGCGAATGCATTAATCGTGTCCATTCACAAGAACATAATCGCATAGTATATAACTCGCCGATGCAAGCGCGATACATTTAAGTCATGCAATTAACTACAAAAGGTAAGTGAGAAAGTATGTTTTCCTGAGTATTAAAAAAAGAGCTTTTACCACTATAAACGCACATGGACACTATTTTTGCACCCGCGTGTATACATAATCTTTATGCAAGATTTTTATTGATGCCTCTTATCGTGAATACATCCTCTAGCGTCACAAAGAAGGCCGGTCAATCGCCGATGACGTATTATCCTTTACTCACGTACATGTGAAAGATATTCTTGAAATAAAGGATGAGTTTGATGAGGGACAAAATGCACAATATGTATAAAGAGATCGCAAAAATGACGAGCAATGCCATTCGCGCGTTTATATTTGTCTCTGTGTCCTGCAAACCGCGCGATCGCCCGCTGCTGGCCACCTGCCTGTTGGCCGCAGAATGTATCTGGTAACGGTAGGTGGCCTGAAGTCAAGCTCAAGAATGCCAGCGGGACTTCTGGAGCTCGATCTGGCCTTCCAGAGTTTTTGCAAGATAGATCACGAAGAGCTGGCTGAGCGCAATGGCTAGAGCAATGCCAGCTATCGCGTAGAGATTACGTTCTGCCCAGGTACGTACGATTTCGATACATCCGTTAGTCCACACCTTTTTACCCGCTTCCGACACTGGTAACATCTGGACCTTGTAGCCACACATTATATTTACAAGTCCACTCTAAAAATTGAAATGATCTTATTTGTAAACTTCTCATTAAGTGCTTTACAATGTTGTAAGATGCTTATGATATTAATTGGGTGCTTTCCAGGACAAAATCAGACACTGTGTAACACAGAGAATCGTTTCATCCTCGTTTAACGTAAACAACAAGGATGCAATGATTCACTGTGTTACACAGTGTCTACTTGTGTCGTAGTTGGAAAGTAGCCATTATTATTAATTGATAATAATGTTAATTTAATTGGAATATTATTAATAAATGCTCAGTTATTAATATACGCTCAATTTAATTGTAATATTATTTCTACTTCATTTTATGCTTGTGTTTCAAGTAATCGGACGATAGTAATCGGTGCACAGTTTATGTATAAATAACGGAAAATATGTGTTTAAAACTAAGATATAAATATTGAACATCAAGATTTAGCCTTCTCTGGACTTATTTGTATACTAGCAGTAAATATATAATTAAAAATGTCTTTCCAAGATAAAATGTCTTTCAATTATTTTTGACTTTCTATGTACAGATGCAATAAATAATATACGTACGGATATATCAGTAGAATTTATGCAACAAGAGAATGGTACACCGCAACGTTCTACACTAGGGCTGGTGCAATTAAAATATTCATTCTTCCCCCAATCCAAGTATCCCTCTTGACTCAAACCACAGCATCTGAACTGCAATATAAAATTTTATAAATATTTTACTTATATGTACGACATTGAATGACTCGTATAAATATAAGAAACATATTTTTATCATTATTAATCATTTTATTCGTGATTTTTACCTCTTGTTGACCAAAATCAATGAAATTTTGCAGATCTGGATCTTCTCTATACGTCTGAATTATTTTGTCCGTAAAAGATTCTTCTAATAGAGACTGCAATGTGTGTGGAAATACAAAACCAACGATCGCCACACCCATCTCCAAGAGGAAGAACACCAAAAGACATAGCGAGTACTAAAAAATCATTCGATAAGTCAATCAAGTTTTTTGCGCCACTTGTAGAAAATATTCTGTATAAAAAAAAACTAACAAATTTAAGAAGGCATGTATTTTCACGAAGGGCCCCTACACATCCTGCAAAACTAACGACAAAGACTACTCCGCCGGCTATCAGCATCACCAGAGAAATGTTTAAGACCACATCATAAACGTTTTCTACCCTGACGGATCCAGTTGCCTGCCATTTATCCACAAATGCATAGAGACCTACGCCAATTAATAGTCCACCAAACAGCTAGACACAAAGAAAATTATTTTTGTCTATCATCATTTTATTTGATCATATCATTTCTTTAACTTTTGTTCTACTTCTTTAGTATCTAGATCTAGACACTCTGATATTTAAATTTAGCTGGGTTACTGATGTTGATAGATTCAAACCCAACACAAACATATCTTTCCCAGCTTACCTTTTAGGACACAGTCAACACAAACATCATTCATATTCTTGACATTCATGAATAAATCCTTATCTATAGTTTACTTATTGTATTTTCTGCTTTTTACTTTTTACCTCTTGCTTTTTTGCTTCATCTTATTTCTTTGCTTTTTTTTTCTCCCAAAACAAATTCTAATCTATACACTTTGTTTCCTGTTCCTTGCCTTTGCTTTTCACCTTTTTTTCTCTTTAGGACAGTTTCATTGATAATCTTATATCTTGTTTCTTATCTCCTTTGACATTTGTAATTTTTTCTTCAACAACAAAAAAAGAAGAAACAAAATAAAAGGCAAGAGGTAAAAAGTAATAAAAAAAAACAGCAACAGAGGAAAAGAAACAACAAACGCATTGTAGAAGCAGGCTTAAAAAAGTTGACAAACATTGAAAGAAACAAAATACAGATTACAAGAAACGCGATTACTGATACAACGTCGTAAAGAGGAGAAAGTTAAGAAACAAAAATACATTGTAAATTAGACTCAACAAAGACAGAATGACTTGTGTGGACTGTCTCTTGAAAGAAAAGCAGCTTATATTTTGTCTTGGAAAAAATTGCGAATTTCATTTGCGTGTATAGAAAGATAAAAAAAAAAAACAGAAGAACCAAATCGCTCACCCAAAAAACGAAATTCAGCATGAAGATCATGTACTTCACGCACGAACTGACGTACGTGAAATTGTTGCCTCGTCTGCGATAATACATCATTATGTGGTGACAAGTATTCGACGAATTTCACAAAATGATCGGCGTCTCCGAGACGAACTCTCGGTACGGCGTCACTTGAACGTTCGTTTCACTCGTTGTATCAACTCACAACGATGCGGCACAGCATGTATCGACACATACTTCAACAGCTTCTACTCCTTCCGCCATTACGACGTTTGAGACGTTTCTCATGGTTTCCCTAGGTTTCCTAAACTCGTAACGTTCCTGCGTTCCATCGCACGAATCACGATCAGCTGTCCATTCCGTGTTCCGTGATAACACATGCAGATGGCAAATTCGGTAGAGACTGCACTAGCATGCACTAGTTCGCACTTGTTTAATAAAAGAAGAAAGGCCGAAAGTTAAAAATTATGTGAACATCGTGAATAATACTCGGACAAGAGGTATCTATTTAATTTATCATATATAATTAATTATATATGATAAAAAAAACAAATATATATAATAACAAATTTTATAATGAAAATATTTTTATATTAGTTTCAATAATGGCGGAATAACACTCGCTGTTCAGTGTAGCACCAACTTTAATGCTGCACCAGGACAAGTCAAATCAATCCAGTGTAGTAACTAGTACTGTAGTGCAGTACTGCAGTGTAGTTTTGCACTCGCACCGTGTCAGTGCAAATGTATCGAATGTGCCTGTCACTGTCATCATCTGTCACCCCGAATGTGCCGAATTCGTTATAGCCTTACAACTTACAACTTTTGTCTGAAACATTTTTTCCTAAAATACATTGTTTATGAGATATTTCGGTGTATCCAGACTTTTGGTACACCCTGTATATCATCATATATCATTCCGCGGAAGTATCGGAATTGGAATTCGTTATTCTGTTTCTTTTCAAGGAGTTGTGGCAAAGTACGAACAGTGACGAATTATTCGCCAAATTGAAGTTGCGCATATCTCATAAATCCCTCCGAGTTTAGAATCTTTTAGAAAGCAGAGCAATGGCATCGACGCAAGACAGTGAGTTCATTTTTAACATTTTCTACACTTTTTAGTATAGATGCTTTTATAGGTTAAGACGATTGTATTGAGTTTCAATGCATATTTTGACTTTAAATTATCAAATTTCAGATAATCTTATTCCACACTTGTCGTTACTGCTGGAATACACTAGTTTTATCTGCTTTAAAATTGATAGATACTCGGATAGATATCCTAAATGAAATCACGATATTGCTAACCTATATCACTATACAAAGAGGTCCGTATTCAGAACGTGTTTGTATTGATAAAAGCGCGCTTTTATTTCTGAAATTCTACACTATGCGTAACGTAAACTATAGCATGTTAGACCGCTAACATCGTTCTAAGCGCGTCCTGAATACGGGGGATTATGCCAACGTAAAAGAATTTTACTTGTGCAAATTCTGATTCTGTTTTAATTGCATTTTTTTCTGTTATTATATGTTTAATGTAAAATATATATTTAAAGATGACTTATGAGAAAAAAAAAATTAAGAAAAAAGTTAAATGAAGAAAAGAAATGTAACTGATGTATACATGTATATATATTTAATGTTTATATTCCAACTTTAAAGATACTCCACATTAAAAATTTTTGCCTTATGATTACTTATTAAGTTAATGAGATTAAAGTTACTTTTTATCATGATTTCCTATCATGATGCATGATATTTCTGTTATTTAATTTTTTATTTATATGAAAGATAATTAAATGGTATTTAATTAGAATTAAATTTAATCACTTTAGCATATATAAGCCAAGAAAAGGTAGATGGTATTTAATTAAGAACATAAATTTTAGGAATGAAACTCAAACGTACAAGCTCGAGTGACACATGGTCTACACGGGAACAATTATGCCTTGCATCAAGTGTACTGAAGTCTGGGGATCAGAATTGGATGAGTGTATCCAGATCATTGAAGCCGTTTGTTGAAAAAGAACCGTCACGGCCAGTAGACTGGTTCTCGCAAAAGTCATGTGCCATGCAATATGCATGTCTACTGGAAAATACTGATACACCGAAAAGAAAGAAGCGAGAAAGTGGCGAGACCACTAGTGAGTCCATAGTTAGAAAATTGACACAGGAGAGAATAGCCGAGTTAAGTCAGATTCTCAACCGTCAGAGGGACGAGTATCTACGACTCAAGACTGATATAAATCATCTTAAGTCTAGTGCAATAAGTGATGAGAAGTTGGAGAAGATGTGGCTCGATATACAACAGGAGGAACGCGAGACAGAGCAGAACGCACGGACTCACATGATGTGGCTGGCAAAACGTCAACAACAATTGAAACAGGATATGAGTTCACCATCTGTCTCAACTTCGATTATAAGTCAAACTCGTAAAGTAGTGGAAGGTACAACAGAGTTACTACAGGAATCCACTACGACAGAATCGTCGGCAGAGAACGACGAAGAAAAGAAAACTAACAGAGGTGGTAGATCTCCATTGCTGACAAGTCTACTGAAATCCCCCAGCCCGACCACTCAGACTGTACAGTCCTTTCCGTCCACTCCCGTTCAAGTGAGCTCGCCGACCATTACTAGTCTGCTTGGATCAAGTCCCAAAGTGCTAAACACACAGGTAGCACAAAATGTATCGCCACAGTTACAGCAGTTGGTCTCGACGGCTATAACCAGCGCAAATACGACACCAGAACGGCCGTCCATTGGTGCTCCTACGCTCTCTATGCTGTTGGAAATGCCAGCAAGTACACAGAGAGGCTCTTTATCAAATCTGCAAACAACTCCCACAGCAATTGTATCCCATGCACAACAGACAACAACGACTGTGGCTACTACCTCTGAAGTGCACAATTTACAGCAAGTTGCGCAATCACAAACTCAAGTCGAACAGGCTATCCAGAAGGAAACGATGGCAGCAACGACGATGTTGACAGTTCCAGCGACCGCCATCACTTCGACAAATATGTCAGTGTCAGAGAATATGCAGATGCAGATAATTGATCACATAGACGTGATGCATAAAGACATAATGGTAGATGTGATGGATAAGGATGAGATAAATGACATTATCGGCGACATCGAGGAATTGATTAAGGAAGAGATCAAAGAAGATATCCCCAATAGCTCACAGACGATGGACACGAGTGGCTCGACAACAATGACGACGACAACGATGACAACGACGACGACGACAACGACAACGACAACAACGATGACAACAACGACGACGACGATGACAACGACGACGGCGACGACGACGACGACGACGACGACGGCAACAGCAACGGCAACGGCAGTTATCAATAGTCCCGCCAATATGCCCGAACAAGCGACCGAAGTGCTGATAGCAACAACGGAACAAAGGCCGCAGTCAAGAGATGTAGATGAGGCCGTGTCGCTGTCCGATTCGCCGCAAAGCGAAATGGCAATTGAGGAGATCGATTCTAGTACTTCAAATATTGCCGAAATTATTGGAACCGTCGCCATAGATTCGCAAGAACCTAAAATTATTGTCACAGAGATCACACAGACCATACCAAATACATCAGAGACCAAATCCGAGACGAGTATGTGTGAAAAGAGGACGACTTTAACGGACCAGCTTGTTTCGAAGACAGAAATCAAAGATGAAGAAACTAGTAAGGATATTCCAATAGAAGAGAAACGATCAGATATTGAAACAAAATCTATGAACACCTTATCGAACGTAAAGATCGAGGATAATAACTCTAAACTTTTGGACGAAACGAAGGAAACAATAAACGAAATTGTGGAAGACGTGGAAGAGGAAGACGGGGAGGAAGAGGAAGAGGAGGAAGAAACGGAAATGACTGCGCCTGTTTATAAAGAATCGTCTGATAGCGTTAAAGAGTCGAAGGAACCAACAGAAGATACTGAAGGTAAACATAATGCGGGATTAGATCAATTAGAAATATATTTGGCGAAAATTACAGGGGATCAGCAGGACCTACCATCCGCGGAGATTGTCAGCATCTCTTCAGAGGTGACGAACGATCTACCCAGTGCCGAAGATACAGAGAAGTCGCAAGATATCAGCTTGATCCTGGAGGACGACGAGAGCAACCAAAGCATGGAAAATAAAAAGAAGAAAGCGGCGACAGAAGAGCAGATCGTCGAAAACACGATTGAAAATACAGAATCCTTAGAATCTTTTAAAGAGGAATCGACAAAAGAAAAGAATGTTGTAGAGATAAAGGAAGAGTCTTTGATAAAGTTACAGACAGAAGAAACGAACGAAGAAACGTTGGAGATGAGTACAGAGCTTAAGAATGTAAAGATCAAAGATTCCTCGGAAGACACTACAAGTTCCGGCTTACAGGATATAGAAGTTAAAGAGGAGGAGTCTGACAAAGAACCAACCGACGAAAACGAGGATATTAAACAAGTGACCGTAGAGGAAGTAAAAAGTGTCAAAAGCGAGCCAGTTGAGGCTACAGAAATAAACATTAAGAAAACAGAAAGTGCAGAAATCAAATCCGAGGAATCAAAAACCGAAACGAAATCAGAAGTTAGCAGTTTGTTTCACAGAAAGAGCCCACTTCACGATACATCGGAGGAAGACAAGAAAGAGAAAGTGGAAGTGAAGAAAGAGGAGAAAGAGGATGTCAAGAAAATCACGGAAGGTGAGCAGAGCGTAAAGAAGGAGATAGAATCTACAGTCGTGGAAGAACCCGGGGAATTGGACGAGGAGGAGTCCTCGTTGAGCAAATTGAGTAGCAACCGAGCGATGAAAACGTACTCTAAGAAGCAGAACGTTGCTGTGGACAGTGAACCAGAAAATGAAAGCACTGGAGAGGGCGCGGATTATCGTGCTTGGAAGAAATCGGTTTTGCTCGTCTACAATCGTTTGGCCACGCACAAATACGCGTCGGTGTTTCTCAGACCGATCACAGAAGACCAGGCACCCGGATATCATTCGGTGATCTTCCGACCGATGGATCTATCGACCATCAAGAAAAACATTGACAATGGCACGATTAGGACGACCACACATTTTCAGAGAGATGTCATGCTTATGTTCAAGAACGCGATCATGTACAACAAACATGATACGTTTATTTATAAAATGGCAATTTCAATGCAAGAGGAGAGTTTGCAACATATGCAGGTACAGAAAATATTCTGTTTGTTATTCACAACTCTAATTCAAACAATATTTTTTTGTTGCTAATGACTGCTGGTGTGCTTATTTTAAAATGTGTTAAGAAACTGATTAGAAAGGGAAGCAATACAGTACTAGTGAAAATATTGTTTGTCTTTTTTATTTTTTAAATCATACTCTCTCTCTCTTTTAGTACGCATTTTATTGTACTCTTTAAAATACCTTCCTTTGTGTATTTTCAGAAGAACTCTTTATCTGTACATGTCAGTTGACAAAACAGTTCCAATAATAGAAGTTGATTTCTACTTCTACTAGTATTTATTAGTTTTGATAAGATAAAAGAACTGACGTTCACACAGAAAACTGAAGTCGAGCATGTCTATTTTCTATTATCCGAACTACGGCACTGTAGTTCCCATAATAGGAACTCGGCTGACAATTTGAATATTTGGAACGAAGCATGAATTTGTTCGTATAAATGGAGTACAGATAACGGAGTTCTGTTTACTAATGTTATTTAATTTCAGATTTTGGTACAAGCAAAGGGAGAAGGAACGTTCCGGAGGGAGACCAGAACTGCTGCAAGTAGTAGTAGCGAGACAAACGAGAATAGCCTTAAGCGGAAACGAAGTCACATCACTCCGAGTCCCCACGATACCGATACTCCGCGCTCGAAAAAACGCAGAAAATCCGAGAACGATTAAAAACTCGATTAACAAATTGTACATAAAACTGTAAAAATGTGCTTATAAGAAAAAGGGAAATGTAGCAAAGAAGAATGATGGAGAATAGAGTCATATTTTTCAGGCATTGACAAAATATATATCAATGTTATATGAAAGTAACTGATATTCTTAATATATCTACAAAGAAAGCGTATGTGTGATATAATCATTATATAATGTTGATTTATCTCTCTCTTATTTTGTAAGGCCAATTTATGATACAACTATAGTACTCGCGTGCAACACAGTTCTGATAATTTTAAAACATTTAAATATTTATTTGATAGATTATAAAAAAGATAAAGGAATAAACAAATTTCTTCGTTGTCAAAGACATCGATTGTATTATTTTCTACAAACACGAAGTAAACAAAAATTTGACGAAAAATTAGTGAGTGTTAATGTTTTAGAATTAAGTTTATAAAAAAAATCAGTCGGTATCACAATGAATTTGACATGGTATATCAATATTATGAAAAAAACACTACACATCTCGTGTAACTTTTAACTGTCTGATTGATTATCCGAATATATATTATAAAAATTCGCCAGTATGTTGAAATAATAATTGTAAGATGCGATAAAATTGCGCGTCATAATTGCAACGGTGCTTGTATATATGTAAAATAAAAAGATGGGATACTATTGCGCTTGGGGAGACGCGAAGATGAGGTGCAGCTCCGAGGAGGAGGGTTATGAAAATCGTGCCACTGACATTGGAGAAAAGAGAGGAGGACGTGCCTCGAACATCCACGGAGAAGCTGTGAGCGAAGCATAACGAGAACAAGTATTGCATGAATGATGTGTACAAACTATAGAATGATGTTAATCGTTTAAAGCCATCCATTCCGACTCCACCGATCTCGGATGATACCGATCGACAATTCTGGGCAGAGGATGAGCTGAGCAGCTCAGAGTCGCGGCAGAAATTAACTGCAAGGAGAAAACGTCGGCATAGCGTTTCGTATAGGAATCGCACCGCGAACAAAAGTCGATCCCATGCTCCTCGTCCTTCGAATTCTAGCTCCGATTCGGTTAACGCGGAGACTTCGGCTAAAGGTAAATTCTAATGTATCTCTATTTTATAGTTCCATTTTTCATTGACATGCAAACAATAACATAACATCAATGTTACAATTTCATATTGAGCAATATAATTGTTATGTACATGTGTTATATTTATACTGTCTATGAATGAAATTATAACTAAATTATATTGATTATTTATAGTTGATGTTTTCCATATAAAAATTTAATACAGATAACTATACTTTTAATACTAAGAATAGATTATTAATTATAGTCAGTACTAATATTAAATTTCTATAAGAATTACTGGGAAATGAATGACACATATTATATTAATATTATAATTCCTCATTTAACAATATAATAGAGTGGTATGTAACACAGTAACAGTGTAGAGTTTAAAATTATACTATCAATATAATCTTACTATAAATTCGAGTATTAGGATACTCTTAATATTCACAATTCCTTAACATTATACTGAATAGGTACACTCATTTTCGGATGTATAATTATTTGTAGTTCGCAGAATACGAAGACGTTGGTTGAATTCTAAACTAGAAAAATTGCAATCGGGAAAAGCATCGTGCACCAGTACTGAGGAAACTGCTTGCACAATGAATAAAGTGGTCTCTTCAGATCATCAGGCTGCATCTACTTCTAGCTCGCGCCTCGAGAGTCGTGAATCACTTTTGTGGCAAAAAAATCATTGTGAACGAACGGATAACACATTACGAAACGTTAAAAAAGTCCGTCTGAAAAAAACACGTGATTCACCTAAATCTAAATCGAAATAAAACTACAATACACTGTTCCAGTAATTGTTATCATAATCGGAAAATTTATTCATAGAAAAGTTGTGTAAATATATGTTTTACTTCACCGTTATACATTATCTTAAAGAAACTATTTGAATTTATTCGAAATATACGAATTATTTACCAAAATGATCGAAATTCAATTTGCAAAATCTAATATAAATTTATAAATTTAATTCTATTTATATTATATTTATGGATTAACTTATTCATCGCTCGATTGTATCGAGGCAGAAAAAAACGCAGAACAAATGAATGATCTATTTTTTATATAGCAAGTTTGGTCACTTTTATTACACTAGGACTAGATAGTGCATACTAAAAGCTACTATACATGAAATTAGCAAAGTTAAATGTAAAAGCTTTAACAATTGTATACCTAATCCTAATAATGATACTGTCATGTTAACAAAATATATATATGCATTATTTTCGTTGTCATGCATTTATATAAAGATATTTTGTATAAAGCATATTTTAATGTACACTAATCTATACAGAGAAAAACATACTAAATTTTAATATCTAATTGTTTGAATACCAATACAACATTTATTTACATTTTGAAAATTATTAAGATAAATATTTACTAAATAAAAAATATAATAGTTAAATTAATAGAGTCGCCAAATAAATCTATGTTTTCATTTAATAACTATTCAAATAAATATTTATTAATATTTAGTATATATTTTTGGTGCCGAGTTTGAGGTTTATTAATAATTTTCATCGCGCCCGCCTAGATTCCTCTTGCGGCGCTAAATGGAACTGACGGTAGCAGAAAGCAAGAGAAGGAGCGTTCAATTGTTTATGCGCAAAAAGAGCGACGAATCTACGTCGTTCGCGAACATTGCGACGGTCGTTCCGGTCCTCCGGACTCCGGTTACGCTTTGAGAATCTTCTTGACAACGATGAGCTACTTTATAAACAATGACTGGACTAAGGGCCGGTATCGGGAACTGAATATTTCGCGTGTACGTTGTGGTAAGTTGGAACTTTGGACATATCTATCCGAAGGGACGTGCGAGAGATGAATGTGCGGTTCGCTTTTGCTTGTCTCACTATCGAATAAATCACTTCTTCTAAATACTATATCAATTATCGCATATTACGTTCTATTTCTTTTTGTTGCATCGTTGACAATAGCCGTTAGTGTGTCCGTTTTATCGCTATCCTTACTTGGAAATTTTACGTCATATAGTCAACCGGTCATATGTCAAATCACGAAGTCGTTTACTTCGTGTTTCAAACATAAATAATCATTTCGAGCAAAATTGGCTTTTCGACAGCGTGGACGCGTTTTAGTCTAAGGAATTCTGGTCTCCCAATAGTCCAGATTTAAACTTCCTTAACTTATTTTATTTGGGGATTTATTGAAAGGGTATCTATATATATTCTGTCTAATAAGTCCAGGTCCAGGCACCCCAATATGGCAATCCTTCAAGCTGTTATGAGGCAGTAATGGGCGAGTTCAAGTCGGCAAATCGACTAGGTATGCTTGCTGAGCGATTGAATATGATTGGTTGGATCTATAAGTAACAACCAATTATGTTGATTTACTCAGCCAGCAGGCTAGCCGTTTTGTCAACTTGAACGCGCCCATTCATTAATTTAGAAGGATTCATTAACAAGGAGCAGTTAAAAAAAGCGTACTCACGCTTGAAGCAAAGGATCGAGGCAGTGATCGCAGCAAATGGGGGGTTATATTGACTAATAGAACTCAGAAAGGATCCCTCAAATGACGTACAAAAAATTTATGTATTTTTTTCTGAATAAAATGGCGTTTTAATCAACTGTTTGTTTTGTTCAGATCTAGCTGACGCATCCTATAATATATAATATACATTTGAGTAATATTTTATAGTTCTTTTTATTAAATATATTTGTAGAAAGAGATTTATTGCATTTCTAGATTTGTATTTATACATATATAGATACATCTAGAGTTATATATATATATATATATATATATATATGTGTGTATTATAATGCGTTTGTGCGTGTGCGTGCGAGTCAGGATCATTTTGACCAACTCCGATTAATTTTAATCAAAGATATATTAGTCCATTTGGAATTAGCCTCTTTTATTTTAATTGCAAAAGAATTATTTTTCTAGCTCAGAATTATTGAGCAATGAAAAATATAAGAAAGATCAAACACAAGCAAATAATTAGATCACAAAGTATAGAAATAATTTATTTAAGCGTCAACAGCAAAGAAAACAAAAACTAGTTTTTCAAATCATTAAACAACATTTTGACTTACAGTCCTTTTCATCTAAATTAAAAAATTATTTGATTATACTTTTTTGTGGTTTTATGAAATTAGAAGTACAATATATTTTGTAAGAGTGTAAAAATTCTTTGTAGCATGTTGAAAGAGTTGTTCAAAAATTATATATATATTGCATATAATTTATTTATTTTTTAACATGCCTTTTTTATTATTAATGAATTTTGACATGATTTTCCTATAGGAGATCCAGCTGTACGTTCTGTTCTCTGCTGCACTGTATTGGGTTTATGCTCGATGCTGTTTATTCTCTCAGTATGGAGCTCTAATATCCAAGTTTCACTTCGCTCCTATGTATTCCATTTTGACAAACAGCAGCCTGTATTACACATCGTTTCTGATAAATTCTTGTCGTTCGGTCTCGACACGTCCTTACTTCGAAAAATGGATGATTTACCTATTGGACAACAGAAATTCATCAATTTGGCCCGCCACTTAAGCCCTGCTTTTGTCAGAGTGGGTGGAACCTCTGCGGATTGTCTGATATTTGTTCAGAATCAGGTTGGTTTGTAAAATATAATATTTTCCATAAATAACACAATTATACAACTTATTCACCTTTTCTGTTTTGAAATTATAGAATAATTAATACATAATTAATCGTTATAAAACTGCTTGTAGGTTTAATTTTAATGTTTTAATGTATGCATGATGATTCAGATGGAACAAAATTCTTCCGAGAAAATCCTTAGCCCTGTGGATGATCAGGATATAAGCAATTTCACTATCTCCGGCGCAGATTTGCTCGCTATTTACGATTTTACCGTGAAGTCGGAATTACGAATGATCTTTGATCTGAATGTATTGCTCAGAAATCCAGATGGGTCCTGGAATGACAACAACGCACAAGAAATTATCGCATTCGCTAAGAATCAAGGCATGACATTAGATTGGCAATTGGGAAACGGTAAGTAACTAAATAAATATGAAAAAAGTCAACATATGTAAAATTTGATTAACATAAATATTAAATTAACAATAAATTAAGGAAGAAATTTTAATTGTTTGATATCAGTATAAATCTTAAGTTATCATAAAATATGTATATATAAGCAGAATTATATGCACATGTAATCTATAATATTTATTTCGACAATGTTTTTAGAACCAAATTCCTTCAAGCATGTATTCGATGTGACACTTCCTGCGACCGAACTCGCGAAGGATTACGACCATTTGAGGCAATTGCTAAACGAAGCAGGATACATCGATAGCATCCTTGTTGGACCAGAAGTTAATCATGTCGGAGAATCTAATGACATGGGAGAGCTGTATGTCAAGGCATTTTTAAGTAGTCAGAAGAACACAGTGAATTACGTCACTTGGCATCAGTATTATCTGAATGGACGAAATGCTAAAGTCAATGATTTCGTAGCACTTTCCACGTTCAACTGGTTACCAGTGCAAATCCATTCCATGAAACAATTCATTATCGAGTCGGGGAAAGATGTTTCTATGTGGCTATGTACGTGTCTTACATTAATATCAAAATATTATATATTACATTACAGTATCGCTTTTCTGCTTTTAGCTTTATTCTTGAAAAATTATTTTTTTAAATCATAATACTATTATACGTACATAAATCCTTAATATCTTTTCTTTAAAATAGATCTGATTTTTTATCTACCTTTCTAAATATCATTACATGTAATCCTTTTAGGATAGATTTTTTAACAGAGAATATATGGTACAAAAGACTGCATTCAATAGAAAATCTAATTTATAGCTGAGACTAGCACTGCATTTGGCGGAGGTGCACCCGGATTGTCCGATAGATTCGTAGCTGGATTTTTATGGTTGGATAAATTGGGATATAGCGCTAGTGCAGGATTAGACGTCGTTACGAGACAATCATTATTCGGAGGGAATTATGCTATGGTATCACCGAATCTCGAACCAAACCCTGACTGGTGGATCAGCGTCTTCTACAAGCAATTTGTATCGGAGAGGGTTTTGAAATTGTCGAAGTCTAACAATTTCAGCAGCGTACGATTGTACGCGCATTGCACGTCAAAAAATGCGCTGATTTCTAGAGTACCGGCTGTCACAATCTATGGAATGAATATAGAAAAAACTGCAACTCACATACATATTCCGGAATTGTTTGTACAAAACAGTAAAACCACGATTTTATATTACTCTCTAAGCGCTGATCATTTGCAGTCGAGGTATGTATAAAACGATAAATAAAATTTTATAATAATAAACGATTTATATATATATATATAAAAGCTAAATGAATAGTAAATCTGAGTTATATTTGTTTTGCAGCGAGATAAAGCTAAACGGCGAAACTGAGGCACTAAAACTGCAACCGAATGGTGATTTGCCACCATTTCGACCTGTGATATTAGATCCTACGTATCCCATAGTATTACCACCATATTCTATAGTGTTTATGATAATTCATGGTATAGATGTTCCTGCGTGTTCGGCATAAATAGTGTTTAAAGAAGATGACACACAAGTCAATTTTACAGGATGTTTATATTGTACTTTTCTTATACATTATTATATTAAACATTTATATTATAACTTATATTTTTTATATTATATTTTTTTACAAACTTATTAACAAGGAAGCTTATACAGACATCAGAACCGTTTACAGAAGGCGCGAAGCCATAGCAGAAATTTATTTGTCTATCGTGTAACAGTTGTCAGTTTACAATCTGCTTTTTTGTGTGTCATTTCTAATATAATAAATATTACATTGCCTGTGTATAAATAGGCAATACATATAAACGTAGTTGTATTTTCATGTGAGTTCATATGGCTGTACAATTTTCTTTTTCTCTATTATTACATATAATATATTCCTGTGTTTAAAAAACACTTCGTTCGTATTTTTATTCAATATGATATATGTATTGTGCTACCTTCATTTACTCGAAATATCTTTTATCCTTTTTATAAAGACTGAATACTAAAATAATAGTTCATAACCATTTATCATACAAACAGCAAACGCACAATAGCGAACAATTATAAATATCGAAAGTAATATTATACAAAGAGGAATGATATTTATACATACATCGAGCGAAAGTTCGTAATGAGACTAGTATTATCATTACTACTCAGTACCCTTGGTTTTTGTGAAAACATGTGACACTCAAATTGGAGAAATTAAATGTTCAAGACAATAATCATTATCGTGAACAATCCATACAATCTTATCGGATAGCAGGTTTCGCACAAATATTCAATATACCTACAATTGCATTATAAGTTCTATTATTATTATTATTTTACTCCGCGCTGGAGATCGTGATAGTTTTCCCCTTAGGATCATCGAATCTATCCATCGTGCGGATATCCATGATCATGGTGAGCGCCCATATCATGATCAGACCCAATATTACCGTCACGAAAATTCCCGTCCAAATCGGTATACTGGTAAAACCAACGCAGTCGTACGCGTCTTTGAACGTCGCATTCTTATGACCGACCTGCACCTGCATTTCTATGATATTTAAGTACGTGGTACCGTCCGTGAAGGTGGTTTTCGGCGTACAATGATAAGAGAAGTTGGACGGAAAGGAAATGTCTCGCTTGGTGGATAGAGTATTGATTCCGTTGGTCGTCTCGTATATCACATTGTACAACGTATAGTAGCCGATGCTTTTGATTTGGAAGAAGAACTCGAGCGTCAGACTGCCAACGGTCTCATCATTGAACTTGATGCTCAAAATCACCATGCTATTATTGGTACGAGACGACATTCCGATGACTTTAGATTGAACAAGATCCACCTCTGGCTTGTCAGATATCTGCAATGGTACAACATTTTCTTTGTATTATCTTCAATTTCTTTGAGCCTTTCTTATTTAATTAACATCCATGGATTTTTTTTATAAATTCTTTCTTTTTTATCGCTTAATGTTTAAGTTATATAAAAAGAAATTCTCTCAAAACTCAAGAAATTTGCTTTAAAATTTCTTATGGAATATTATTAGTGTTAAATTGATGTTGTTTACCTTGAGTGACAATTTAGCAGAATACAACAGAACTTTGTCTGTTTTTATCTTGAGCTCTGTTGAATTGTCCACCGACACTTCTCTCTTTATTCGCTCAGTGTGGCTGTAACGACACTGTTTTCCGGTAAGTGCTATGCATCCGCTCGAATCAATGTCCTTGAGGACCATGTTGAACTTATGATCATCGTTTATATCTATCATTTTTCTCTGCTTGTAGATATTTTGGAAGACCGTGACAGGCGAAACGACACACGGAAAATACAATATTTTAGAACCATTGATGGCGTTTGACAGCACCTGCAACATTTGTATATTTATAATTCTATTTTATGATCTCTAAAACAATCTTTAAAAGAAATAATTAATGTAATTATTCTTAATTCTTTTTTAAACTTTCATTATTGAGCGTTTTCAATTTTATAATACAAGTGAAAAGTAAGTATCATTTTGTTATTCTCTGAATATTAAGAAAAATAAAAGATTTGTATCGACTTATGTCAATAAATAAAAAGCACAATGTATTAAGATATACAAATATTAAAAGGAAAATATATTTATCAATCATAATAAAACAAATGTTGTTAATAATACTGATTGTACAAGATTGTAAAAACTAATGCATACTGTCAGTAATACTGATCGGTAATACTGATTCAGTATTACTGATCATGTAGGGAGACCGCCTTATCAAACTCTCAATTCCATTTTTGTGTGTTAATCAAATTTATTGTGCTGTTACCATTGGAAGTAGAAACTTTGTAGATTGATGAAAAGAGTGTGAGCAAACATATTTCTATCGTTTTATCTTGGTTTAATGCTGCTTTAGATGTGACTGAATGCTTTGGAGGAAACCAGTTTCCTCCAAAGTATCTATAAACATTAAACCAATGTGAAGATGTAATCAAGATTCGAGGTTTCTTTCTCTGGATTCTTCCTCCGTTATCTTATTCCTTAAGGCTCTGATAAGTATTCCTTTTATAGCCGCAGATAAATAGACAGGAGGGAGCGAAGAAGACTAACCTTATTATTCCGAAGATCCTCGATACACAGATCTTCAACAACAACCGCTGATTCAGTGATGTTTAACTGCAACAGGCTCCTCTCGAACTCGTCGGGAGTCAGCTTCTGCAGCGAACTCAACGGCATCGTTTTGTACGTCGTGTCATAATCGGACGACTGCGAGCACCAGATCACAGCGGGCGTGCAGGCGCAAGCAAAGGCGAGCTGACAGACAGCAGACAGTGTGAAGAATGACACGCGGACCACATTGCTCGGTTTTCCCGTGCCTCTCGTCATTCTGGAAGCTGAGTTGAGGCCGGGTCGAACGAACTACGAATTCACACCGTACAATAACTGATTCAATGGAGCAGAAGGCACTCCACAAGCACCTGACTGTTACACCTCGTGACGTTGATTCGCATCACGTGGCCGATGCACTTCCGGATTTCGAAAAGGCGCCCCGCCTATAGATAGATGGGAACATTGAAGTCACCAAGAAAAAAAGGGAAAATATTCTTGTTATATGATTATTTTTTTACTGTTATTATTATTAATATTATGAGTGTCACTACTATTATTATTGCTGTTAGGCGCGTTCAAGCTCAACAAAACGGCTTATAGCCTTATTATACTCGCCGAGCAAATGAACACAATTGGTTATTACTTATAGATCCAACCAATTATATTCAATAGCTCCGGTAAGCGTACGGGCGAGTTTTTCAATTCACCGATTGATCAATCGTATTATGCACAAATGCAGCTTTTACGGAACAAAATTCTGCGCACAATGCGATTGATCCTCTTCTTCTTCTTCTAAATTAATGGCTCCTGCCTCCTTATAGTGAGCGGAGGCAATACGGCCAGATCACGTCAAATACCAGATTTCGTCTAGTAGTAACGGGTGATGCAATGCCCGCGAAAATGGCGTTGCTCGAACGGTCGCCGGGCGCCTGCGTCTACTAGTCGTCGAAACGGCGAACAATCGAGACGAGCCCATCCGCGGACACCCATCATTGGGATTCAATTGCTCAGTCGAAGTCGGCAACACTTTCAAAAATATAAAGTAGAAAGCACCCGATCCGCGAAACGCGTCCGTCTCGGTCGAGCGGTTCTTCGGAACTGAATGCGATTGATCAATCGATGAAAAAAAACTCGCTCTCCCTAGCCGCTTTGCCATCTTGAACTCGCCCATTATTATTATTACGAATTGTTATTTTGCTCAATTATTTTGGAGTAGAGATTGCATTTTCAAAATTACTTGAGAAAAAAGGAAAGAAGAAGAAAAGAGAAAAAGTTTTCTTTTATACTTTTTCTTCTTTTTCTTTTCTTCGAAGCAGGGGGTTTCGGGAGGGGGGGGGGGTGACTTCAATGTTCCCATCTAGGCGGGGCGCCTTTTCGAAATCCGGAAGTGCATCGGCCATATGATGCGAATCAACGTCACGAGGTGTAACAGTCAGGTGCTTTTGGAGTGCCTTCTGCTCCATTGAATCAGTCATTGTGCTGCGAACGGTGTGAATTCGCAGCCCTCCCCCGAAAAATAAATTAAAATATTTCGTAAATAAATATTTAACAATACAAAATTTTGTATTGCTCATTACTTTTAATTATAATTGTGAGATTATTCCAATTTGAAATTATAATAAATTTAAACGTTATTGTAAGTTGAATGATATTTATAGATACTGTATTGTCGTTTTGTCGTAGTTACTTTTATATTATTGGAGAAAACTATGCTTACCCCCCCTCCCCCCCAGATGCCCCAAAAGGACGCTCCAGTCGCGCGCGTTTCTCCGTGTTGTTAAGTATTTCTACGAGCGCTACCACCGCGTTGCGGTATTTTTCATAACGCAACACTTTTGCGTGGGGTTAGAGAAATAACTCAACGGCTTGAGATATTGGCTATTTATCGCACGCAAAAGCGTTGCGGTACAGGGCACATTACGTGCATGCGTGAGGAAATAATTATAGAATTTATTGATTTTTTTCATATTTCTTTTATTTTATAAGTACTTCAATTTGTTTACATACATGGAATTTATGTATTGTGCATTTTAATTTTGAAATACCAAAGGAAACCATTACTTTAAAAACCCATCATACTATATCTACTGCAAGGTGATGTGGAAATAATAGTGTTTTCAAACTGTGATTTATTTTTAATATAAGAGAGAGTGATTATTCATTTTGACTACTTATGTATTTTTTTTTTAATAATGTCAAATGCTGAATAGCGCGCGCCTGTATTGTTCTCAGCGTGGCTGTAACGACACCGTTTTCCGGTAACTGCTATGCATCCGCTCGAATCGATGTCCTTGAGGACACTGTTCAACTCATGATCATCATTTGTATCTTTAATAAATTTGTTGAAGAACGTTTCATTCGGAGCAACACACGAAAAAGTAAATATTATAGAACCATTGATATTTGACAGCACCTGCAACATTTGCATATTTATAATTCTATTTGATGATCTCTAAAACAATCTTTAAAAGAAATAATTAATGTAATTATTCTTAATTCTATTTTAAACTTTCATTATTGAGCGTTTTCAATTTTATAATACAAGTGAAAAGTAATTAAGTATCATTTTGTTATTCTCTGAATATTAAGAAAAATAAAAGATTTGTATCAACTTATGTCACTAAATCAAAAACACAATGTATTAAGATATACAAATATAAAATGGAAAATATATTTGTCAATTATAGTAAAACAAATATTGTTAATATAATATACTGATTGTATAAGATTGTAAAAACTAATGCATGATCGGTAATACTGATTCAGTATTACTGATCATGTAGGGAGGCCTTATCAAACTCTCAATTCTCTCTCTCCATTTTTGTGTGTTAATCAAATTTATTGTGCCGTTTCCATTGGAAGTAGAAACTTTGTAGATTGATGAAAAGAGTGAAAGAAATGAGCAAACATATTATTTCTATCGATTTATCTTGGTGCAATGCTGCTTTAGACGTGACTATGAATGTTTTGGAGGAAACTAGTTCTCTCCAAAGAATCTATAAACCAATGTGAAGATGTAATCAAGATTCATGGTTTCTTTCTTTGGATTCTTCCTCCGTTATCTTATTCCTTAAGGCTCTGATAAGTATTCCTTTTATAGCCGCAAATAAATAGACAGAAGGGGGCGAAGGAGACTAACCTTACTATTCTGAATATCTTCAACACACAGATCGTCAAAAACTATTACTTCAGTGATGTTGAACTGCAACAGATACTTCTCGAACTCGTCGCCGTCGGGAGTCAGCTTCGGACTCAACGGCGGCGTCAGGTCATCATGTTCGAACGATGGCCCGCACCAGATCACAGCGGGCGTGCAGGCGCAAGCAAAGGCGAGCTGACAGACAGCAGACAGTGCGAAGAATGACACGCGGACCACATTGCTCGGTTTTCCCATGCATCTCGTCATTTTGGAAGCTGAGTTGAGGGCGGGTTTGAACGAACTACGAATTCACATCGTGCGCAGCACAATAACTGATTCAATGGAGCAGGAGGCACTTTAAAAGCATCTGACTGTTATACATCGTGACGTTGATTCGCATCACATATGGCCGATGCACCTGTCACAGGTGCGAAAATTTAAAAAAGAATTAAGAACAATTACATTAATTATTTCTTTTAGAGAGAGATTGTTTTAGAGATCATAAAATAGAATTATAAATATACAAATGTTGCAGGTGCAGCTGTCAAACGCCATCAATGATTCTAAAATATTGTATTTTCCGAGTGTTGCTTCGCCTGGCACGGTCTTCGGAGATATCTATAAGCAGAGAGAAACTATAGATATGAACGATGATTATGAGTTGAACAGTGTCATCAAGGACATCGATTCGAACACATGCATAGCAGTTACCGGAAAACGGTGTCGTTACAGCCACACTGAGAACAATACAGGCGCGCGCTATTCGGCATTTGACATTTTATTAAAAGAAATACATAAGTGGTCAAAATGAATAATCACTCTCTCTTATATTAAAAATAAATGATCACAGTTTGAAAACACTATTATTTCCACATCACTTTGCAGTAGATATAGTATGATGCGTTTTTTTAATAGTGGTTTCCTTTAGTATTTCAAAATTAAAATGCACGATATATAAATTCCAAGTATATAAACAAATTGAAGTACTCATAAAATAAAAGAAATATGAAAAAAATAAATAAATTCCATAATTATTTCCTCACGCGTGCACGTAATTTACCCTATACCGCAACGCTTTTGCGTGCGGTAAATAGCCAATATCTCAAGCCGTTGAGTTATTTCTCTAACCCCATGCAAAAGTGTTGCGTTATGAAAAATTACGCAACACGGTGGTAGCGCTCGTAGAAATAACAACGCGGAGAAACGCGCGCGACCAGAGCGTCCCCTTTCGGGGCATCTGGGGGGAGGGGTAAGCATAGTTTTCTCCAATAATAAAAGTAACTACGTACGACAAAATGACAATACAGTATCTATAAATATCATTCAACTTACAATAACGTTTAAATTTATTATAATTTCAAATTGGAATAATCTCACAATTATAATTAAAAGTAATGAGCAATACAAAATTTTGTATTGTTAAATATTTATTTACGAAATATTTTAATTTATTTTTCGGGGGGGCCGCAGCACTTCCGGATTTCGAAAAGGCGCCCCGCCCATGGTGTAAGAAGAAAGGTGAAACAACATTATGGATACGCAGTAGTCGACCAATAAGAATCAGGTCCAAATATTCAAAAGCAATATGGTTGTCCCTTTGTTATCATTAATATTTAGGGGATGTATATGGACCTAAATTTTATTGGCTCCGCCATTACTATGCGCAATGTTTCACCATTCTTCTTACACCATGGCCCCGCCTAGATGGGAAACATTGAAGAAAAAAAGGGAAAATATTCTTGTTATATATGATTATTTTTTTACTGTTATTATTATTAATATTATGAGTGTCACTATTATTATTATTGCTGTTAGGCGCGTTCAAGCTCAACAAAACGGCTTATAGCCTTATTATACTCGCCGAGCAAATGAACATAATTGATTATTACTTATAGATCCAACCAATTATATTCAATAGCTCCGGTAAGCGTACGGGCGAGTTTTTCAATTCACCGATTGATCAATCGTATTATGCACAAATGCAGCTTTTACGGAACAAAATTGTATCTGCGCACAATGCGATTGATCAATCGATGAATGAAAAAAAGCTCGCTCTCCCTAGCCGCTTTGCCATCCTGTACTCGCCCATTATTATTATTATTATTACGAATTGTTATTTTGCTCAATTATTTTGGAGTAGAGATTGCATTTTCAAAATCACTTGGGAAAAAAGGAAAGAAGTATAGAAAAGAGAAAAAGTTTTCTTTTATATTATTATATTATATTATTTATTATTTTATTAAACAATAATAAATTAGAAGAAGAAAGCCATTTACGGTTAAAGCTGGATCACAGTGCTTATTATAATTGTGTGAATTTTATATACTGCGTATGTAGTCCCCCCATAAATCACGACGCTGATAGTTTTTCAGCATGATTGACGCATACATACTTACTACCGCAGTAATATCACTTAGTTAAATTGACAAGCATTCTAACAATTTTTTATGCTTATAGCATCTTATTGGATCTTAATAATATGTTGAAAGACATAAATTATGTTGAAAGACATAAAGAAAGAAATTAAATTTTTACGATGTAACGTTGAAGTATAGATAAATCTAAATCTAAATCTGTGAAAATACGATTGCGAAGAATATCACGAGTTGGCGTTTCGTCCCGGTTTCCACTACTGGACTCATCATCAGTAAGGTATTGTAATGGAAACCTACCTTAGACGCCTGTTTAAGATATTAATCGAGATTCTATATATACAGATATACGCGTATCTCAGCATCTATAGACCTCTGATGGCGGGTCGACGTATTAATATTCTTCGCAATATTTATCTAAAGTAGGAGAATAACGTCTTTTTTCAGGCTGACGTGATTTAACAAATACTAGAATATTTTTAAGACCGTACAATTGATAAACAATAATAAATTAGAAGAAGAAAGCCATTTACGGTCAAAGCTGGATCACAGTGCTTATTATAATTAATTGTGTGAATCGCGATTTATGGGAGGACTACATACGCAGTATATAAAATTCATTTCAGTATATCAAATGACATTTAATGAACAGAAACGGATAGAAGAAATGATTAAGAATGTTTTGGCAAAAGTATTCACTGTTGGACAAATCAAGATATTAATGTCACAAAATGAGAATGTTCGTATTCGATGGTCACTAGAATCTACATGTGATTGGAACAAGGCAATTGCCGAATTATTTTCATAAATAATGTTTGTTATATGTGTATATATGTATATGTATATATACATTGATATACACATATAAGTAGAATATATAATGTATTTATAAAAATGGACAATTTTCCTTATTGCAAAAATTAGTAGAGACTATAGAGACACGGTAGTGACACTACCGTGTTACTTCACGCAAACCAGCGATTTACGGGATAATTTTTTACTCAACTTTTATTATTTCAGGTATATTTATGTTATACTTTATTAAAAATCGTGATTTTATGTTTTTATGTTATTTATGTCATTAAATTCATAATGTCGTATTCAAATTTCGCGGTTGCATTTGGACCCAAATATGATTGGTTGTTCTATTATGCCACCGCCATTATGCGCAATGTCTCACCTTTCTTATTACACCATGATAGGTATTGCATTTTCAAAATCATTCGAGATTTGATTTACTTCAAATCAGTCGTATTTCAAAATTGTGCTGAATTGGTATATCTTCTCCGGAAGTAGAAAGAAACTTACGAAATTTATCGTAATCATGGCCAACGTTAAAACTGACAAAAAAGCTGAAACTGTCATGTACTCTGTAAAGATTATTATTATTATTACTAAAAGTATTACGTATTACAGTATTCATAAGTTTAAACGATTCTGTCAATTTCATATTAACGATGTAGGGTTAAAAATAAAATATGAGAAATTGTGAAAGCGATTTTATTTAATACATATTCTACAAAAAAACACTCGAAGGAACAAATCATTCTGTTGGAATTTTCAATTAAAGCCATATTTATTCATTTAATTCTTATTACTCATAAGTACCTGTTATTACGTCTAGCAACTTCAGCCGTGGAGTGCAATCGGCGTTTCACCGTGTATGGAACAGGACGCAGATTCTCCGGTTCCAGCAAGAGAATTTTACAAGACCCCAAGACCACATCCCTGGCGACCTATTTTGGGATACGAGGTCGTAGAGGTGTCTCCATTGTGAGTAACTTACTATAATTCTAACATTCACCGATGCATTTTTAATACAATATTTTTAACACAAAAGACGAAAAATTAATTTCTTTTATTCGAGAATTAATCTTTACCTTTTAGGCCTGCACAGCCAATAACAAATCTATTGGTGGATGCTTATCGCACGTCACGTGGATTGGCGATAGAACCGCTAAAGTTTCCGAATTTGGTGACTGGTTTTGATCGAAATCCTTCACATGCGGCACGTGCTGCGCTTTATACGCGATACACTCCGTGTGATTGGATACACAATGAAATCAAACTCTATAATGAAGCGAATACAAATAGATGCTACTCTGAAAAATTGCGCAAGAACAATGCATGTTTAATGCGGTAGGAATACATTTTTTAGAATCAATGTTTTTACTTTTAAATCAAATTATTTAGTGATGTATTAATTGTGTTAAAATTGTCAAAATTAACAGTCTATCTTTAAAGTTTTTTTTTATTTAATGTTCTATTTTGTAAAAAGATGAAGAAATTGTTCACAGAAAATTATTCAATAGAAATCCCCTTATATTAAAACTGATTTAATTATATAGTTATCTGAAAAATTATTCGTTAATAAATTATACACATAATTTTCTCAAAATATATTGTTGCTGTGATATCTGTTTCAGAGAAGCAGATGAAAAGGTAAAAAAGGGACAAACAGAGAGCGGTCGAAAACTCGGAGAAAGAATCACGGATGTTACTTTCTGGCGGAACGAAGTGGCATCAGAATTGGACAGATTAATCGTAGAAAACAGTAAAATGCAAGACAGTCGTCGCAAATTGCAAATCGTGATCCAAGATCTTGAAGGACAGTTACATATCGCGCAAGAATGTCTTTATCATCGGGAATCGAGAAAAGGTATTTTTATTTTTTGATTAATTAAATAATAGACTCGATGATATATCGAAATTGAAAACAAGCAAACAATATAAAAAAAATGAAAAGGAAGAATCTTGTAGAATTACATCACTTAGAAAGCTTAATCAATTAGTTAATATTTATAGGTATTGATTTGGTTCATGATGAGGTCGAAAAAGCTCTGCTAGAAGAAGTTGAAATTGTGAGAAATTGTGAGAAAAAGTTGAAACAGATCATGGATAGATGTATTAATCAGGTATATCATATGTTTACCGATAATATGTGATAGCGACTTTAAAAACTCGCTCTATAATATTTTTCAGTTAACAACTGGTAGAGCTGTACAGCATCAGCTACAGATTGATGTACAAAACAAAGAAACAGCCCTAGGAATTGATAACGTGTGTCACCAGATGAATAACTTTACTCGAGGTCTGCAATATTACGATGGTATAGAAAGATACGATCCCAGGTAAATATGAAATCTTTTATTTATAAGCACATCACTTTTGTAGTATTTTAGTTGGGTGGGAAGAAGGAAAGACTATAAAATGAGAAAACATAAGATATTCAATATAAAATGAGACTTTCAAATAATTTGATATTTGTATAATAGCATATTTTACTTTACTAAGTAAGATATAGTATTTGTTCTTCATACACCTTATTTCTCTATTAACTGAAGCTATAATAACTGTGTTTATGTAGTGTTACTGGGCCTGAATTTTGGGAAGAAGTGGCAAATAGTATAGTAAAGAAATCGCAGACCGAACGAGCAAAATCGCACCAATTGCGAAATGATATTGACAATGTTATAAATGCAGTAGTCTACGAAATATGTGAAGCTTGGACTGAAACCAATAAAGCGCTAGACAGACGAATTGCTGAAATGTTGGAAGCGAAGGAAAATTTACAAACGCATTTACATAAGGTAACATTTTTGTTAACAAAAAAACTACGATGTAAAATTGCAACAAGGAAGTGCAAATTTGTATAACAACATTACAAACACAATGTGAAAGTTCAGCAAACATCTAAAGACTATTCGAAAGATCGTAAAATCTCCATAACGTTTTTAGATTCTTCTTATATAAATCTTATGCACTAGATTTGATATTATTTGTATATGGATTTTAGATTCAAGAAGAGATTTTTGACGTTGAAAAGAGTATAGTATTAATGCAAAAAACTATCGCTGATAAAAGTCCAGTATTGAAAGTGGCATACACGCGACTGGAGGCCAGGACACACCGTCCAGATAATGAACTGTGCAAAGATGACGCTCAACTCAGGTTTGTTAAAATCATTTACGTGTCACACACTATTCTGATAACAATATTTACGTGTCATAGGATGAACAGAGAAGTACAGGATATTAATAAAATAGTATATGATTTGAATATGAAACTGCAACAATCTGAGGCGCAGCATCAGCAACTTTTACGCACGAGATCTAATCTGGAAAGCAATTTGAAGTCTAAAATAGATGCATTGTTCATTGATAGAGAAAAGTGCTTGGGACTCAGAAGGAGCTGTCCAATTTCGTCGATTGTGAAATACTGAAACAGTTAGATTGCAGTGCACATAAAGTCTTAACAAACTTTATAATGTAGGTTATATAATTTATGGTGTTTTATTAATAGAAATGCTAAAAAATTTTTACAAGAGTTATGAAACAAGATGCTAAATTAATAGAATTAAAGAGAGATTATTGAAATACACATGCACGCACACACATACGATTATTTATATTAATGTAATAACATATTTCTATAATTTATAATGTATAATATTGTCTATTTATTTGTAAAAATATTTTACAACCAACTTAGAAATTATGATTTAATTTTGCATCTGTACAGTTCTATATCATGGAACAGAATTTTTTTAAGTATATCATTGTGAATGTAAATTACATATATTTTTAGGAACATTCACAAGTGATATACTATATCATATCTTTTTTTATCTTTCTCTGATAAAAAAAAACGTTATATACAAGCTGTACTTACTTACATATATATTAAAGTACACATACTACAATACTATATGTATTTATAAGGTTTGTTCGGATTGCTTGTACTTTTTGCATTTAAAATCCTCGGCTCCTTTCTTTTCAGTCTGAATACATATTTATACTACATCTCGTTTTAGATGCAAAAATTTTGGGGAGTTTCAAGCAACGCAAACAAATCTATATTTATATCTACTTAACACATGCCCAACATGTTCGCAAAAGATATTGAACATCGAAGCTTAAAAGCAAGTTGTGTGTAATCAATGAGATTTTTTTTTACAAAAGATATAAAAAAATAGTGATTTAAAAACTCTTTTTAACTGAAGTAGAAAATATCATCGTATTTTAGTCCATATTTCTGACCCACTTAAAAGCAGCTATGGTGTCGTATATGTTTTCTATTGCCGCATCCGTATCGTAATCTTCTTTCAAGTAAAAAATTTTAACATTTTCTTGCATGTGACACATCAGGACATTCCACTTTTCGAACAGCCTAAAGGAATTCTTTATTGGATCGACGCATAAACTCTCTCCTATTAAAGAAATAATATTTTATATATAATATAAAAACAATAATTTCAGTTTTTACTAATTAAACATTCCAAATCGTGCATATTATTATTATTTCATTTATAAGCAATATTGTGTCCCCAATAAAAAATTATAGTTAACAATACGTTTCAATTATATTTTATATTATATTGAGTGTCACCATATATAATATACGTACACACACACACACACGCACACGCACACGCACACGCACACGCACACGCACACACATATATATATATGTATATAAAACTTACCATAACTAATTATACCTCCATCCACTTTGGTTTTTATTTCGTTCAATACTTCTTGAACTAACTCTCGTTCGCTAAGCGACCGATCGACTAATTTCTTTAAATTGAAAGCACTGCATGTGTATGTGTCAATTAATGGACGTAACATTGTATGTAAAAATTCCATGCGACTAGAATGTTCAGGTCTTAAACTCAGCTAAAAGTAAGAAAGAAAAAATTAATTAATTCTTTTATTTTTAACATGTTATTCTTAACATATTTCACATAAATATTTATGTAATAATTAAAAAATTGATATAAATACTATATTAATTATTATCCTTTACTAGATACTATTATTAATAGTAAGAAAAGTCTAAGAAAAGAGAGAGTAATTTACTTTATATTCAATCTTCTGGATTTTCTGTTCTCTCGAGTATTCTTCGTCCGAACTGTCATCAAAATTTTGAGCGTATCTTTTGCTCCAAAGTTCATCTTCCAGATAAACCTCCTGTTAATCATTTTTCTTATTACTATATACAACTTAAATTGTTTAAATATCTGTGCAAAAACAAATATACCTCTTTCATAGTAATAATGCCTTTGTGCGAAATATTCTGTATTGTTTCAAGGACTACGTCTCTTAATTCTTGGCAGGGCCTGCAGAAAATAAACTCATACCTAAGAATGTCGCATAACTTGAGCGCTCGCTCGATCAGACTATTTTGTAACACTGTGATATTGTTCTCAGCGATCGCTACTGGATCGTTAATCTGGGACTGCAATTCAGCATACAAAGCTGTTACTGAAAAAATATAACAAGGTTACATTTCAAAATTAACCCTCTGTCTGCAATCATATTTTTACTCCCTCCTCTCTCTCTCCCTCTCCTGCAATTTAGGTCTTTTATATTAAATGTCAAAACCTCTATTTAATCAAAATAAAGAAAAATGGAAATTTCTTTAAATGTATAACTTGACAATAAGGGAAATACCTTTTTTTATTTCGAAAATATTTGAAAATAAAATTCTACTTATGTAAATAAAAAATCGAGATTGTAGACGAAAGTTGCTCGTCGATCTCTTTATGTGTCTTACCCACTATACTGTCCATAACATAGTATAATAGCATAGTATTGCTATAGTATGATAATTCGATTACATTCGGTAGAATTGATATGGGACGGATCGCTATTACGACGTTAGATTTATAGGATTGATTGCCTTCAACGGCTTCGGTAATTTCTTGTCGCTGTTGCATCACTAAACCCGGGCCTAAGATATCTAACTATAAATTCAAAGATTAATAAGTTTTTATACTTTTAGTACTTTTCTCATAACCAAATCATTTCATTTATCATCTACTAACCGCATGTTTAATGATATCAACACTCTCTCCGCAAAAGGCCACGTTCTTTTCACTAAATTCCAACTCTTGCCTTATCAAATCGAACGCTTCGACCAATTTGTCTAATGTACAACCGTCTCTAAACTTATTTAATAATAAAAATGCAACAACATTCGTTGACATAATCGGCATAGATGTGGACGAGTCTAAAAACAATTATGACAATGATTATTCAAATTTATCTCTTAAGAATTATAATAAAGATATCATTTTACAATCGATAAAAATATTTCCATATCATGCTAATAATCTTGACTCACCATACACGATGTGTCGGGCGATGCTATCTACCATTTGTCGATGTTCCTCCACAATTACATCTGTACCATAAAGAGATGAATTCGACATAGTATATTTTAAATATCCTTCTGAAGATTTTGAAGCCAATTTATTTTGCTGAGCTTGGAACGCCTTTACCATTTCCTGTTGAAAATCATCTCTCCACATTAAAGGTCTCAATATTATCGATACGAATCAATTTCATTTGAGAAAAATCATTTCTCTTTCTCTCTTACCCTGAGGGAAAACGGTTGACAGAAATCGATTTTGACGATGCCGTAACGGCCTCTTAATGTTGACCACATAGCTTGAATCGTTGACGTGAAAGTCTCCATTTTCTTTGGTTGCCCCAACTGTTCTCTAACAAAATTTCCGTCTACCAGTCGTTCGTAATTAATCGCTACAGGTACCAAAAATGCATCCTCAATGGTGCCATCCATGTATGCGTCGACGATGACGCTCAGGATACCACTCTTTGGCATGCAAGGTTTACCAGTTCTCGTGCGGCCACCTTCTATGAAACATTCCATGTTATGCCCAGCACGAAGATTCTCCATAATGTATGTTTGAAGAGTTGCGCGATAGAGAAGATCCTTGCGTCCTGTTACTGGATCGATACGACGTTTAATGTAAAAAGCGCCCAGATTTTTCAGAAGCCATCTGTCAATCGATATCGAACGTATTGTAAATATATCCTCACAAATGTTAGAATAAGAACCTTAGAACAAGATTTATGTTAAATTTTAAGCTTACCCGAAAAATGGCATCCTCAAATTATCTCCCGCCGCGATCAATGGACCCCTTATATCATTCGCAATCATTTGGAAGTCGACCATTATGTAATCTAAGTGACTGCGATGTAGGGGCAGCATTATGAGCGGCAAACCGGTATCACTCGCCTGCTTCAGCATCTCCATTTGAGAGGGTATAACAACGATGGATTGTATGAAACAGGGCAACAATTTGTACATCACCCACATGGCTACTTTAATAAAGGCGTTGCTACAAGTGCTCTCCATTTGCTGGAGTATGGTCCTGGCTCTGGCTTTCGCTTTTGTAAGCGCTTTCTCCTCGCTACAACCCTCATGATTAGCTGTTTCTAATGCGGTTAATTTGATAGCGTCTTTTAATTTTTCATCGTTCAGGACCTACATCGAGAGCAAATTTAATGTACAATTATAGTGGAGATTTATTTAGTGCAAATTCCATAAGAGTACGTGACAGCAAAACTTACTGTTTCTGTAACCCTTGGATAATCGTGATTCTTGAAGCTTAATACAAGAGAGAGATGAGTGAATATTTTCGAAAAAAGCGTAGAACTTGGTTTTTGTGTCAATATGTTCACACCATATGACTGATGCTGCTGTTGCTTCTTGAGCGCAGATTTGACTAATGTATCCTGGAACAAAAGAGCGGAAGCAAAATAAAAAATATATTTTAATTTAGATTTCGTAAAAACACAGCATAGAAAATACATAATCAAAAAGTATATGTGAAACGTATAAAATAAACGAAAAACAGCTAACTAATTTTTTTTTTTCGAAAATATAAAGTATATGTAAAGTGTTTTGAGAAACTACTAAACGTGCTTCTAGTTTACTTCGCAGTTAACTCATTTATCGGATAAAGGTCTTTGAACATTTCGTATAAGCGTATAAAATAATAAAATTAATTATATTTGTGTACTTCTATCAACTCACATTCTTTGGGTATCCGCGAACGATAACAATACGCCACCATCGTGATAAGAATCCACGTGTTTCCTCGCACATGTCTTTTATCATTAGAATATCAAATAAGTATATATTTATTACTATATACCATGTGTATAAATTGTATATTATTATTATTAAAAACGATAATGATTAGATGATGTTTGATAACAAATAATCGCTATCTATGATGAGCATATGTTGACACTTTTTCATCACTCCAAACACAATTTTATATTAAAAACAATTTTTTCAATGCGTGTGTTTTCTAATTACGTAAAACTGTTATCAAATCATCGGCATAATTGGCAATTGCAAAAATTTAAAGTCGTTTAAATTGTTTAGTCATACACGTGGCTCATCGAAGTATGTGGGAGAATGAATCTCCCTCCCGTCCGCCTCCGAATCCACTTTGGATTAAATTTTTCCTCTTCACGATTAAATGCTTTAGCATGAAGTTCACATTTATACACGCGTCCGTACATGCGTGCTTATTGCGTGCTATAATTGTTCTTATCTAAAGAGGGTCAAGTGATGAAAGACGATCAAAGCTTCGTTACATAATTAAACACATGTTAGAGGACATATTTCTCTAATTAGGTAATAAGGCCGTAATAACAGCATCTCTCTCTCTCTCTCTCTCCCTACATGTATCACGGTATCACTATCGCTTGATTACAGATTTCGGTTTATTTAAAGTAGAATTTTACGGAATGATCAATCGTTGCGTTGTACACACAATTAATCACACAATTAATTACGCACAGTTATGTTTCGCGAAAACTAAATGAGTATGTTAGGAGAAATTTCGCTTCGGGACCGATAGGATCTTTAAAAGAGAACGGTTTTTGAGCGACTTATTTGCGTCGTTGTCACACGTCGTGTGTTCTCCCACACCGATCTCTCATATCGCGTACCAAAAATAGATCATGCTTGTAGGTGTAAAGGTGCAAATGAAACGTCTTACAGACACTCTTTACTCCTCAGGCACGACTAGCGATTTATACGGATTGTTTATAGGAAAT